AAGTGAACTTGATGAATTGCCTTACCTAGGCGAAAACAGATTTGCTGAGTACAATTTTGCTGCAAAAAACATGTGCCACATATTCTTATTGGAACTTTACTGTATATTACTTCAGGGGCGTATCTGCCGCGAGGCAAACAAGGCGTTTTCCTCGGGCGGCAGATTCCGACAGGGCGGCGAATGTACCGGCCCACAAGCCGGTACTTTGTGGCCGGCAGCCAGCTCACAAGTCAGGTACGCGGTCAAGGACCTGCGGGAGCAGCTATGCGGTCTGCATCTCTGTCGGATGCAGACCCTGTAGCTGAGTCTGCGCCGGCACCCGGATCCTTTCGGCCAGCGCTCTTTCAGTGAACGCTGGCCGAAAGGATTGTGCAGGATCGATTGATGATGATGACCTCATCAATCAATCGCCGACAGACGTGCCGCCTCGAAGCCTCCTCCCTGCTGTCACCTAAGTTAATGATCAGGTGACAGCAGTTGCATTTAAAAGCCTGCACACCGCATGTAAAGATACGTGGTGGGGGCTTTGCTGGGTCCCAAGGGGGCTTTGCAGGATCTGGGGTGAGCTCTGTGAGGTCTATGGTGGACTGCATGTTCTCAGGGGGGCTGTGCAGGATCTGTGAAGGGCTCAGCCAGGTCTCAGGGGGATTTGCAGGATCTGTGGCGGGCTCTGCGGGGTCTATGGTGGGCTTAGCAGCCTGAGACCCCGCAGAGCCCAGGAAAGATCCTGTAGAGACCACCGCAGAGCCCACCTGAGACCACAGCCAGGTGGGGTAAATTTAGTGTATGGGGGGGGGGGGGGGGGCGCCCGAGTTTTGTCTTGCCTAGGGCAGCCCCAAACCTAAATACACCACTGTATTACTTGACAGTGAGGATAGAAAGCCTTAAAATACTGCGCACTCTATGGACTGACAGTGTTAGAGGAAATATATCTTTAAACACAGTGTGCCAATTGAGAAGACATTCCATTACATAAATGAAATAGCTAGCATAGCAAGGTGCAACCAAACAAACAGGTCATTATGATCTTGCGTAGGCTTGGTCTGCCTGTGTATATTGCTATGTAGTTGTTAGGTTTATCACTGCCTGGACATGCCTGTAACAATTGTGTGAGGATGTTTAGAGAAGCCAGCATATAATAATGCTCCACAATTTGTTAAAAGCCACACAGGGCTGCACCCAGCCTTACCAGTAAATTGATTGTAAATAACACTAAGGCTCTTAAGAATGCCGTTCGTAATGTGATTATAATCAACATTTGTTTCTGGCATTTAATAATACAAGTTTAATCAATTTCTCATTCACCCATGTTGTATTTTAGGAACTCAATATCACTTCTGAAGTATTTAGAGAGCTATTTTAAACTAGAGCACCCAACTAATAAGTGTTTTTTATTACCTGTTGCAGTTCCTTTTGCTTCCTGCCCCGGTGAAAACACCGTCATCAAAGGCTTTAAGAAACAAAACAAAAAAGAAAGTTTGGCTGGGGGTACACTTTCTACATAGCATTTATAAAGACTACTAAGGTTGAAAAGGGTCAATTCTACGCTGACCACCAATGTAAGGGGTCACTTCTACGCTGACCACCATTGTAAGGGGTCACTTCTACGCTGACCACCAATGTAAGGGGTCACTTCTACGCTGGCCACCATTGTAAGGGGTCACTTCCACGCTGGCCACCATTGTAAGGGGTCACTTCCACACTCGCCACCATTGTAAGGGGTCACTTCTACACTCGCCACCAATGTAAGGGGTCACTTCTGCACTCACCACCAATGTAAGGGGTCACTTCCACGCTGGCCACCATTGTAAGGGGTCACTTCCACACTCGCCACCATTGTAAGGGGTCACTTCTACACTCGCCACCAATGTAAGGGGTCACTTCTACACTCGCCACCAATGTAAGGGGTCACTTCTACACTTGCCACTAATGTAAGAGGTCACGTCTACACTCGCCACCAATGTAAGGGATCACTTCTACAGTGACCACCAATGTAAGGGGCCACTTCTACAATGACCACCAATGTAAGGGGTCACTTCTACGCTGATCACCATTCTAAGGGGTCACGTCTACACTGGCCACCATTCTAAGGGATCACTTCTACACATTGTAAAAGGTTACTTCTACGCTGACCATCAATGAAAGAGGTCACTTCTACACTGACCACCAATGTAAGGGTTACTTCTACGCTGACCACCAATTAAAGGGGTCACTTCTACGCTGTCCACCAATGTAAGGGGTCACTTCTACGCTGACCACCAATGTAAGGGGTTACTTCTACGCTGACCACCAATGTAAGGGGTCAATTCTACGCTGACCACCATTCTAAGGGGTCACTTCTACGCTGACCACCATTCTAAGGGGTCACTTCTACGCTGACCACCATTCTAAGGGGTCACTTCTACGCTGACCACCATTCTAAGGGGTCACTTCTACGCTGACCACCATTCTAAGGGGTCACTTCTACGCTGACCACCATTCTAAGGGGTCACTTCTACGCTGACCACCATTCTAAGGGGTCACTTCTACGCTGACCACCATTCTAAGGGGTCACGTCTACACTGGCCACCATTCTGAGGGGTCACTTCTACAGTGACCACCATTGTAAAGGGTCACTTCTACGCTGACCACCAATGAAAGGGGTCACTTCTACACTGATCACCAATGTAAAGGGTCACTTCTACGCTGACCACCAATGTAAGGGGTCACTTCTACGCTGACCACCATTATAAAGGGTCATTTCTACGCTGACCACCATTGTAAAGGGTCACTTCTACGCTTGTATACATTGCTATGACACTTTGCGCCATGGCATAAAAATATACCGCATGCTGAGTTTGGCTGGCGGGGAAACTTGTCGAATGCGACAAATTAAGTGAATTGGACCATGCTGCAACCACATATTTCAATAGAAAATCCCACTGGGATTTAAAAAAACAAAGAAACCCTGCATTCAACAGGTGGTAGTATCTCCTCCGGAATGCCGGGCAGCCACTGCTCCACCACCCTCTGAAAAAAGATCCACCACGGAGGGTGGTAGAGACTGCAACCAGTCTTAAAAAGGCCTTATGAGTAATAAGTAAACCGTATTCTTTTATTTAGAACTCTCTACAACCTACTGATGTCACTAATGTACCGTGAGCTGTAGGTCTATTTTTTTGGGCGAGGGTTCCCTGACACCTAAAAACTATTTAAAAGGTTATTTTTTGGTAAAAGGGTTAAGAAAGTCTGAGGTAAGCCCAAAGCTGGGTAAAAGAGTTATAATTCAGCCGTAGGCTGAACGAAAAAAAGATGACAGATTCCTCCATCCGTGCTAAACAGCGCACACAAACGAATTTCCTGCGGTGTATATTGTATTCTGACTCCACTAACAAGATACTTGAACAGTGTGTGCAGCTGATTGGCTGCAAGCACCATTCAGCCAAGGATTTTTCATCATCTTGGTCCGGCAAAAGTCAAGCTAATCATCGACCTCTGTTGAGGGGATAGGGTCACAAACAGATAGTATTTTGCTCTGTGTGTACCCAGCCTCGAACTATATGTGGCCTGATAAAAGAAGGCAAAACCAAAGCAAATCATCTCCAGCAACTTCATTCAGCCACCAGGAGTTGATGTTTAAAAGTTACTTTCCTGCAGAATCAGCTGGTCTCCTGAGCACTGGCCCTGACATTCTATTTTAGGGTGGCTCCTTTCCCATGCAGGGTCGTAGGGAGCCAAACTTGTGTATGCTAGTGCTGTGTGTGTCTCTACAAACATACACAGGTAAAGCAAGGCAATCTACACCCCTCCTTCCTTCTGCAAGCTGCAAGCTAGTAGATGGACGGCTGCGGGAAACTGTTCGGTCCCTTGTGATCTTGCACTGGTCAGGAAGTTCAGAGAAACTGAACTGAGAGAGTTGGAGCTGTTCGTAAACATGATGATTGCAAGTGTTTGGGTAAAATGTAAAGAAATACTTTGCTGGGAGATGTATATTCGTTTGATCTGGAATAATTATTAAAAAAAGAAAGGTTGAGCATTTAATACAACATGAAGCATCCCTGGCAAAAATCAGGCCATGTAGTGTGGAAAGTAGTGCTTCCCATTGCTGGATATGATTATTGCATACAAAAGCAAGGTGCTTACTTCATGTGAGTAACGCAGTGGCATGTCCCAGTTTTAGCCATTTAAGGACTAGCAGATGCCTTATTATCTGTTGTTCTCATCCAGCCTCAGTTACACTACAATCAATAGTAACTTAGCAGCATCTATAAAGGGTAAGTGGACACAGGGAATATCAAATAGCATATGAATCAGCCATAACAGCATAAATAAACAGAATGCAGCAGGGATGAATGGACACTCACAATAGCACATTCATACCAAGCTGCGACGCCTATAAGCTTTCATCCCGTAATACCTAGAATTACGAATGTGTATACACCTGTCTATTTCATTCATAAAATGCTTGTGGGAGTCATAGCGGGTGATTGAAGTGTACACCTTACGGACATTGCCTGAGGGAACCATACATAAACTACAATGAACAACATAAACCAAGGTTACTTTCTCTTTAATACAAAGTCGAAATCATCAATCACATCCATGATAACCAAAACAGACAATTTTCCACCCATTCTCCGACAATCAGAGCTGTTGCACCAGAACACAAAGGAAGAAAAAAAGGTTTTCAATTTTCAGTTTTATTTTGTTAACAAAAGTTTATGTACAAACATCACAATGTCATAATAGAAAGACACATATTTTAAGACAAATAAAACAGAAAACTTCCCACTTTATAGGTTTTTCACATTGGCCTTGGTATACCAAATGGCGAAAATCTGTCTGAAATTCCCATAGTCCTTTGCTCTAGACAGCATGCATCTTTTTGGACTGCCCATATGCCTTTCAGGTAATGAAATACTTCCTTCAAGGGTCCCTTTATCTGGTATTTTTGAAAAATGTATTGCTTTCAGGAATATGAGAATGAGCCTGTGGAAAACAGCTTGGTTTGATACTTGGCCATCTTTTGTTGTAAATACATTCTTCCTTTACATCTTAGACCTATACTTAGGCCTGCCATCTTTGATAATCAGTGTCCATGCAATGACCAGTATAGGCATCCCATCCTGAGGCCTCTTAATTTATTAGATTCCAACACATGCCTAACATCTTCATCCACATTTTGAGTAATGAGTTTACATCCGATGGTGAGTAGGAGTATTATACTTGAAAATGTCACCATTTGAAAAACCATAAACTAAGTAGCAGGAGAAGCCTGCTACCGAAAGTGCTTGACATACACTACTCTTTGCATTCACATTAGTCTCAATCGGTATGTAGTGACCAACCTGCGATGTCTTAGAGGACCATAGACTGGGGGTTTCCAAGGAGAAGTGGTGCAAGCCTAAGTAATGCTCTCACTGGCATTCTGAGATCTTGGAATTTCAACAGCAGCTCAGAAAAACTATTTCTTCCTGGAGGAAAATGATAGATATAACAGATGTATAGTTAGCAACTGTCTGCTTTTGTGATTCAACAAATCTCTCTCTCTTTCTCATTCAACACATTTTTTTTTAGCAAAAAGAGAATTTGAAAAGGGAAACAGCAGTATCACAAGAATAGTTACATCATGTACAGTACATATGATATAATCAGAAGCAACTCTTCAAGTAGTAGTCACCATTGACACCTGTAAGGTCTGATGAGGAGCGTCGGCATGCATTATGTTGCATATTACTTCATTCGGGCAGTCCATTTATTGGAATAGGCTGCCAATGGACCAAAATGAACCTAAAACAGCACCTGCACTTTTGATGCAGCACATCACTTTGCACTGTGGTGCACTCTTACACGGGTGCATTGCTGAAGTGCACTGGGCTGTCATTCAAAATAAACGGCACCACAACATACAACACTATCTTAAAACGGTGTGCAGCTGGCTTTAGAGTAAAAAAAAACACCCCCTTAAAATGTCATACTGGGGAATATGAGTTTAGACTGAACCTGGAATATGTACAGCTATGACAGAACATAATTGACTGAATTGTGAATGTAAACTAATTCAGCTAATATTCCTCATAGCACTGGGCATACTCAAAAATATAACTGAGGAATAGATTACAAAGGAGATTATGATTTGAATGTACAATATGAAATTGTTGGTGCTATTAAAATACCTGTAATAAATAAAATACAATATACACACAAATGTAATTTTTTTTAACTGACAGATTTGGTAACTATAGGCTCTAAAAAAAAGTGTCATATGAAGTTTGCCTAAATGATATTGCCATAAGTGGGATACAGTGTATATATCTTCATGTATGGGGTACACCAGTTGTTAGTGGAACCGTTTATTCATGGTAGAGAATGCAATCATAGCATATTACAATGAATGCTGAAGTGTTACAAAGATACATATGCCCAGAATATGGTGTCAAACCATGAAAAATTCAGAACAAAACAATACGAACCTTCAAGCTTTGCTTCCAGGAACATCTTTGGAGCAGGCACAGAATAGTAAACCAAGAAACAGGCCAACATACTAAGCTGAGAGTCTTCCACTGGCTGACCAGCTAAATAAGAGTGAAGAATTATATCTCCTCCACCTATCAAGATAAGGGAATATGGGAGAAAAATATTCACCATGTGCCAGATTTTATTACTAAATGAACATACAAAACTTATCATTTGCAAACAAGCCCTCGTTTCCGTAAATGGTTTGAGAGTTGGTGTACATGGTATCCGAGATGTGTTTACCAGGCACTGACTTGAATGATAAAAGAAAAGAACAAATTGATATTTTCTGATTTCGGAATCCCGTGTGCAGAAGCCCCTAAAATATTTATCTAATTAAAGAATAATTTAAATAATAAAAACACATCTGCTTTTCTTCTGTCAATGAAGAATAGAATGATGCAAAGTGATGCATTTTCAAACCTGGCTGAATGGCATTTTCCTGGTTGAGAACTGCTGAAGTATCATATGTTGCAGACAATGAAACCTGCTGAGTTGGCTGTATTATTATAACATTACTGGGATTGATAATGCTGTACCAAATGTCAACAGCATTGCCTTTTACTGGGGAAATCTGACATAGTCCACTAAAATAATATATCCCCATCTATTTCAACATGTGTATCTAACTTATGTATTAGATTCCCCATGCCCATATATAATTATATATATTATTATAATACATATATTATAAGCAGCATTATATATCTACCACTTACCGTAGTATTTATATCACTCCTTAGCTTTTACATTCCTCCCATTATATATCCATTAGCTATAATGTATTGTGTCTACCAGCATTTTCTATTCCTCTGCCTTATGTAAGATAACAAGCAACTACTGGCCTTTTTGCTCCGGCTGCTCTAGGTGGTGTGGATTGGCTAGCAAATGTCAGCAATGGCAGCCTCCATATTCTCCCAATATAGGTGACCTTTTCTCTTTACCTCCTACCAATACTCAACATTAACATAACCCGAAAGCTCCATCTTTATATTTTCATAGCAGGAATAATTGTTATGGCAATCTCCTTCTAGAAGGGAGTCACTCAGCTATTATGCTAATGCCCTGGCTTCAATACTTCCTGACTGTTCTCAATAACCCAGAAAAAGTACGCAAATTCCAAACTCAGTTAAAGCAATTCCAAGAATTCAAGTCATCAGGTTAATATGACAACCAAACAACCAGCATTTGAAGAATAAGAAAACAGCAATAGCAGCCTTCGTTGTTTTGCTCGGGAAAGGTTTAATTTGACCATAACCAAACTTAGAGACATTAAACTCAGGAGTTAAATCTTAAAAAAACTTTCAAATACCTTAAAGGAGAACTATGAGGTGAATGCTTTTCACTCACCTCATAGTTCTAGCCGACCTGTGACAATGAGACTGTCACAGGTCGGCTCAGTAGATTGGGAAGTGAGCGAACACATACCGGCATTCGCTCACCTCTCGATCCTGTCACGGCTCTCTGCCGTGACAGGGGAGGGGCTGGAATCCCCCCTCCCCGATAGCGCTGAATGGCGGAACGGACGGGGCGGGTACAGCTGGCTCTGCCTCTAGATAGGCAGAGCCAGCTGTCACTCACGCATCTGGGCAGATCTCAACATCGATGTCGGGATCCGCTCCGGCGTCTCAGTATACCGCGAGCTGCAGCTCGCGGTATACTGAGCTTAGGGTGACGGTAGGACGCTAGTTTGTGTCCTCCCGTTACCCTAAGGAGAACTATGGGGAAAAGCCCTGACCCCATAGTTCTCCTTTAACTGTTAACAAGAATATAGCTTATTTGTGCATTACTTAGCTGTAGAATCCTCATGGCTAAATTCATGCTGACACTGTCCTTCCTTCTGGAGTGTGGCTACTATTGTGCCCCATGGTCCCTGTGTGTGTTTTAAAGTAGCCACCGCTCCAAGCTCACTCCTGTGATAGATTACAATCTCAGCTGACTTATTTGAATTGAGATTGTAGTCCATTACAGGCGTGATCTCAGTGGTCATCATGAATTCAGAGATGATTTGAGGCTCTACAGCTAAGTAATGTACAAATAAGCTATATTCTTGTTAATAGTTAAGGTATTTGAATGCATTTTAAGATTTGACTCCAGAGTTTAGTGTCACTTTAAATTCAAGGGTCACTTTAACGTGAAACTCCAGCGAAAAATAGGATTTTGGTACTCACCGTAAAATCCTTTTCTCTCCGTTCATTGAAGGACACAGGGAACAGATCGGAGATCATGTACTGTAGGGTAATATCGCCACCTGCAGGAGAAGGACGCTAGGCACAAAACTAAAGACCAATTACAGCCTAGGGGCGGCCCCTGCCGGTGGCCAAACCCCCCACCTGCTGACAAGTCTCCAGTTTAGTAACAAGCAGTAAAGGAGTACACACCCACATAGAGGGGCAGGCCCTGTGTCCTTCAATGAACGGAGAGAAAAGGATTTTACGGTGAGTACCAAAATCCTATTTTCTCTCCCGTTCATTGAAGGACACAGGGAACAGATCGGAGATCATGTACTGTAGGGACGTCACAGAGCAGTACCAAAAAAGAGGGGTGGGCCAACAGAAACAACAAACCCAACTAAACAAAAAAATCCCCTCAAACGGCCGCCTGCAACACTTTGCGCCCCAAACCAGCATCCGCAGATGCCAAAACATCCACCTTATAAAACTTGGCAAAGGTGTGAACAGAAGACCAAGTCGCGGCCTTACAGACCTGAGAAACGGAGGCACCATGACGAAAAGCCCAAGATGCCCCAACAGCCCTTGTAGAATGGGCCGTAACAGAAAAAGGAGGCTCACGCCCCTTAATAGCATACGCCTGAGAGACCGTGTTGCGAATCCATCGAGAGATGGTTGCCGACGAGGCAGCCCAGCCCTTCCGAGGGCCATCTGCAATGACAAACAGGGAATCTGATTCCCGAAACGCAGCCGTAGCACTCAGATAAACACGGATGGAGCGGACCACGTCCAGACAGTGCAGCGCCTCCTCCTTCCTGTGGACAGGCTTCGGACACAAGGAAGGCAGGACAATGTCCTCACTGAGATGGAAAGCCGAAACTACGTTTGGCAGGAAAGATGGCCGAGGCCGTAGAACCACCTTGTCCCGATGCAGGACCAGCAGCGGGGACGAGCAAGAGAGGGCCGCCAATTCCGAAACCCTGCGGATCGAGGTGAACGCCACCAAAAAGGCCTCCTTTTGAGATAGAGTCAGAATTGGAATGTCACGCATAAGCTCAAAGGGAGATTCCTGCAACACTGAGAGTACCAGATTCAAATCCCACGGCGGCAACGGGGAGCGAACAGGGGTTACCCTGGGGGTTACACGTTACGATACGTGTAACCCCCTGCACAAAAGTGCGAACGAAAGCGTTGGAAGCTATCGGCCGTTGAAAAAGGACCGCCAAGGCCGAAATCTGGCCCTTGATCGTACTCAAGGCCAAACCCTGATCCACACCCCGCTGTAAAAAGGCGAGGATCCTGGCAACTGAAAACAAACGAGGCGGAAATCCCACCGACTCACACCAGTCCTATGGGAACCGGAACCACCACCCCTTGGGACAAAAGACACCCCACCGTGCCATGAAGGTCCGCCAAGCGCTGTGGAGGAAGACGGATGTTGGAAGGGAAAAACCTGTCCTCGGGACGCGACAGAAACTCTATTTTGTAGCCCGAAGACACCAATTCCCGCACCCAGGTGTCGGAGACGCGGGACAGCCAGCGGCTCGCAAAGAGCCGAAGACGTCCCCCCACCCTGGAATCCCGGGATGGGGGCAGGCCTTCATGCCGAGGGGGGCTTGGCGTTCCTGGGCTGCCAGGGGCGCTTGGCGGCCTGGGAAGGCGGCGGTCTGTTGAACTTCCCGCCCTTCTCAGAGGGCGGAGGCGGACGAAAAAGCCGCTTGTGAGCTGAAAAGGAAGGACCCGGCTTCCGCCGCTGTTCCCTAGGCTTTTTAGATTGAGGTAGGAAGGTACTCTTACCGCCCGTCAGATCCTTAATGATCTCATCCAAGGTAGTCCCGAACAGACGCTCCCCCCTAAAGGGGAGCTCTGTCAGAGCCTTCTTGGAAGCCTGGTCAGCCGACCAGCATTTAAGCCAGATGAGGCGCCGAAGAGTAACCGCCGACACAGACAGCTTGGAAACCAACGGTGCCGCATCCAACGCTGAATTACACAGGTATTGCAGACCCTGCACCACCTGCTCTGTTAGGTCGACATAAGCAGGAGACACGTTTTCTTCTGCAAGACTCTGAAAAAGATCAGGAAGAAGCAGGTAAGAATACCCGAGAAAAAATTCTTAGCTCCTCACTCCTGACGCTAGGCAAAAAACTGGAGACTTGTCAGCAGGTGGGGGGTTCGGCCAACGGCAGGGGCCGCCCCTAGGCTGTAATTGGTCTTTAGTTTTGTGCCTAGCGTCCTTCTCCTGCAGGTGGCGATATTACCCTACAGTACATGATCTCCGATCTGTTCCCTGTGTCCTTCAATGAACGGGAGAGAAATTTGTTTTCCAGTTTTAGGTAGAGTGAGGAAGCATTAAAACCCATGGCACATTTTTATTGTGGTCATTGTCTGCACTAGAAAGATTGTTGTACTAAATTGCCGCATGTCACTCCTTAGATGTGGTGGCTGTTTTGTCAGGCTTTTTCTTTTCTTTTTAAAATTGATCCCGTCAGTAACGCTTCTCGTCCTAGGGTGACAACAGTCCCTTTACTGTACTTTATCTATAGAGGAGCAGCACCCTAGGATAAGTATTTTAGGACTAAAGAAAAAATCAGCCTCCCATCTTATCCAAGACATAGGGATGAGGTTTTCTGTAGTCCACGGGGAACTACTCAGGGCTGATAACATTGGTTGATTTCAGTTCAGTGTACAAGGGAATTAGAAGCACACTGGATGTCTGGCAAGTTCAACAGGTATTTTTCCTCATATTGTGATACATTTCTCATTGAGTTTTTAGTAGAGGGAAAATATCCCTAAAGGGGATAAAGACAGCAATATAAACCTGACATAGGTTCTAAACCCTTTACCAGTCTATATACTAGGAAAGAACATAGCCTAACCTAGAAAGTTTACTAAACTTTAACCCTAACCTAGAAAGTTTACTAAACTCTAACCCAACTCCATTAAGTTCAGCAAGTTAATCATTTAAAGCTCATACTTCTATTGTCCTTAACAAAACCACCCTGACTCTGCACCTAATACAAGTTGTGTTGGGTGGTCAGTGCTCTCATAACCGATTTGCTTTACTATGTCCTAAGCCACAGAATTAAATGTTGAACGCATTTCACTTTTACCTTGAAGCCACTGGTCTAGGGTGTTATCAATGGTACATTTCATCACTGGAAGAAACTCTGAATTCATGAAAAGCCTTCGACTGGGATTTCCCTTCATCCTCTCCTGGAGGTTCTGTGAGCTGAAGAACTCTAGAACCAGCTTTATCTGCCACAGTTCAAATGTCTCGGTTGTTTCCCACTTCTCTAGTCCTCGAACAGTCTAATTAAATAAAAGATGAAATATTCATGAAAAGTTTCAATGGCAGCTTGACTTTATGGAGACTGATGGCACTTGAATTTGGCTATCCAAAAGTGTAGACATTGCAATGCCTCATCATTCCAAGTTATTCCTTCATTATATATGTTCTTTTATGCTAAGAAATGTATGCTCTTAAAGTGGAAAGACCCACGGCTACAAACCCTGTCCCTCTGGATACCGTTAATGAAGACATGAAAATATAGGTCATCCCAAACTATTCCATAAAATATGGGGAAAATGGATCTAATCCCCACACATACTTTCCTTCTCCATAGATTACATAGCAAAGGCAAAATTCCTTCCACTTTACTGTCCCCCCAGAAGTACGGTTTCATTTTCTGTAACTGTACTCTATGCATTGTGCAGACACCCGATTGTGCTAGTCTGGTATTGTAAGAAGCAACATTGTGGTGGTGTTTTTTAATGCGGTTTCCAAAAAGCAAGAAAAAGCATTGTTAAAAATGAAGAAAATGCCTTCTACTGTACTATCTTGAGGTATCCTGTCAGCATAATAACTTTCAATAACACTGGGAAAGAATGTATACTAAAAAGAAATGTACCAGTGATGATGAATAATGAGAACCACAGAATGTAAGATCTTATGCTACATCAGAACTACCTGGTCAATCGCAATGTAGGCAGGAAGCATCTCAGGGTTCTCTTGAGTTACACATTCAAACAAGATAGAGGAAAACAAGTCCAGGATTTCCTGTTTCTGAAGGTATAAACAGTTATAGGAAGTTGTGAGGATAATTACAATTGTATCTTGTGATGCAAAATTTACTTTCAAAAGTACCTAAGACACTGCAGTCAGACCTCAAACATGCTTCAACCAAAATGCTTATACAATTAAATCGTCCAGAATAAACATCCATCATCTTGGCATTCACTGCAAACGTTCATGATATTAGCATCTTTGCTGGCTTCCAAAAAAAGTAAATATAAAGCTACTGGGATATATTCGCTATGTGAAATGTTATGTTTAAAAGGAATCTGCTGTGATATTTTTGTTTAACATGGTCAGGTATAAAGATTAAAAATATTATAAATATATATTTTAAATCTGATAACTATAAAATATGGAATATGAATAATATGTAGTCTTTAATTCAGCCAGAAGGTGGAGCTTCGGGCTCCTTTTTACATGCTTTACAGGATTCTCTTTACCTAGCTGTTGTAAAACCTGGATTTTTGTACCTGTAAAGTTTATTTCCCACAGCATTCCATTTAAGATACCATGAAGTCCCCCCCCTTACAAAAGGATCGGACACTAGACAGAAAAAACTGGAGGCCATTCAGTAGGGCAGTGGTAGTCATCTTGGTAAATATAAATGGCCCTAAGTGCAGCCTCCTACATGTTCAAAGGGCCGCACAATAACATATATACTTTAACATAATAACATGCATACTTTAAACACATTGTGATAACACACCTAATAACACATGACTTACAGCAATGCATAGTGACACACTGTATGTCCAATTGTGCGTTGCAGTGACATTTATTTTTAATGGCACACTAATGCACCTCAACAACTAACCTGCACTGTTGTGTATTGCACTTCATGTGCATTGTGTTGAGGGGTAGAGGTAAGCAGTCACTGCTGCAGGAATAAGGATTTGGTGAGTTTTCCTTCTTTATTTTCACCCCCTCGACAAAACAAGCACTTAACCTTTGCAGTGTGGGGGTAGCCCCACTGTAAGGGTTTTTTTTTTTTTTAAATCTTGGAGTTCTTCTTTAAACTATTTTAGAATAATTCACATTCTTGTATTTAATTTACAATATTTGTATTCAGCTCTTCAGCTCTCGCTTCTTTAGCAGGGTGGGACCGAGAGCCTTAGTCCTAGCCTCTCATATTTACATGTTCTCCTGACAACCCATGTGACTATGGCTGGACAGGAAATGGCTGGCGATGGTGTGATGTGGTCGTTGCATCTGCTGCTGCTTAGTGACCCCTGGTACCAGACGCTTTAATTACAAAAAAAACATTCTCTATTGTACATTGAGGGACAAAGCATTCTAATTGGGATACCATTAGATAAACAAATGCATTCCACAATAGAGTGAACCCAATTCCTAAGACCATAACCTTGAACAATTGTTTGCATTAGCCACCTAGAAATGGTGGAACAAAAAGGGGTGTCCATCTTGGGTGGACCCACCCGGGATGACAAAAAGGGAATCAGTCTTCTTGAAATAGTCTGAAGCGCATTCCAAACAATGGAGAAAAGGTGGAAAGCGAGGACCAACAAGGATCCTTGCAGGATAATCAGAGAGTTTTCAATCATTTTCAGGTGTAACGGGAATAGTGGGTACAAAGGAAATGTCTCTGTGACCCAAGGCCAGAAACGAAACAGCACTGGTAAAAGCGAGAGGCTGATTCTGAAGCTTCAACGTGGTGTGCACCCCATTAATTGGAGAGAAAACAATTTCCTTTAGCTTGGGGGGTAACAGCAGTGGATTCCTCAGTGGAAATCTCATCAAAGACTTGAGCGGCTCAGAATCATATAAGGTCTCTGTGACAGATAGCTCAGAAGCTGTTAAAGCTGCAGGCAAGTCAGATATGTAATCTGTGGAGTGTGCAGCCCCTGAAAACTGAGTCATTTTGGTCAGAATCCTGAATGACCATGGCACAAACCTCAGCCAAAAGGGCAGACAACCAAGCCACACCTGTCAAGAGGGGAGAGACTCTAAAATCTGAAGAGAGCATGATTCTAGGTTACAGGTGTTGTCACCATCATGAGACATGTGACAATCAGTTCCCGACCCGTTAGTGGCGAGTGTGCTGGTGACATCTGGCACACAAGGACCATCCCCCAGACCCCCCGCCCCTACTTTCATGTCTAGAATCAGACATAATGCAGCCACAGTGTGGTAAGTAACTTAGAGGCTCAAGGTCACAGGCTTGGCAAGTGCTGCAAGGCACAAGTGCTAACCACTACGCCTCTTAGGCTGCATTCACACCTAAGCAACACCTATTATGTGCATTTTAGACGTGTTTTTTGTGGATTTTCACAAGCAGACCTTGGCATATTGAGCAGATTGTGGCATTTCATGTGCATGGGCAAAACACGGTAAATCTTCTGAAAAATAATTGCACCGCACATTTTTCAAGCGTTTTTCTCGTGAATCAATGGGGAGAAAATGCACTGAATCTGCTCCAAAGTAGCTCATGAAGTATTTCATGCGACAGGCGTATTTCTGCTTGCGACAGAACACCCAGGTGTAAACAGGGGCCATATAACTGAATGTGATTCCTGGGGTTGAGCGTTTTGACACGCGACAATATGCTTAGGTGTGAATAGAGCTTAAGGGTCAAATTCCGGTCAGGATACTATCTGCAAGGAGTTTGCATGTTCTCCCAGTGCATGCGTAGGTTTCCTCCGGGTACTTTGGTTTCCTCCCACACTCCAAAGACATGCTGGAAGGTTAATTGGTTCCTCTCTAAATTGGGCCTCCTATGTATGCATTGTAAGCTCCTTGAGGGCATGGACTCATGTGAATGTGCAACTATGTAAAGTGCTGTGTAAATTGTCGGCACTATATAAATATCTGAAATAAATACATAAATAAACCTGGACATTGGGTTAACTGGTGAAACACAGGGTGTTAGGGTCAGGCAGCCAAAAGGTGACTAAAGTAACTATAGGTGGGCAGCAAGAATGGTTAGAAAATTATAGAGCTGCAACAATTATTCGATTAAAATCGACGATGGAAAACGTTGTCAACGTTTTCCATCGTCGATTCGTCGGCTAAAATTCAAATTTCCCGCTCGCCGCTGCACGCCCGCTGCTTACGCCACGCCCACGTCGGTTAAGCCGCTCGTGCCTACGCTGGTATACCCGCTGACCGCTGCACGCCGCTCACGCCCGCTGCTTACGCCTGCCGCTTACGCCACGCCGGTTGAGCCGCTCACGCCTACGCTGGTATACCCGCTCACGCTTACGCCACGCCCACGCTGAGGACATGCGTCTGGCCCTCTCCTCCCGGTGAGCTTCCCGACTTGCCGCTGCCCGCCAACAATGAACAACGCCGCTGCCCGCCGACATTCAAGGTAAGTCGAGATCGGCCGGGAGCTTTTTAAATGTTTCCTGTGTGTTGTTTTTTTTTTTAAAGCGGCACACTGCAGAACATTAGTAGCTATAGAGGAACACCAAATCCCTGCAATAATACATTAAACAGCCTGTATAATGTATTATTGCTGGGATTTGTTGTTCCTCTATAGCTGCTAATGTTCAGCAGTGTGCCGCTGTATTATACATTGGTATTCTGTAGAGCTGCAACAATCAGATTAAATCGATTAAAACCGACGATGGTAAACGTTGTCAGCGTTTTCCATTGTCGATTCGTCAGCTAAAATTTAAATTTCTATATATATAGATCTATATATATATCTATAGAGATATATAATAAAACTACATCTAAAAAGGTGTTTTTCTTTAAAAAAAAAATAAGACTCGGGTAACTGTAAAGGTTTCAGATATCTATAGAAAACAAATATGTTTAAAATAAGAAGACACTGTGAGAGTGGAAGTATTATCCACCACACAACTTCAACATTTTAAAACAATAAATTTTTTATCCCCTACCAAACTGCATTTCTTTTCTAAACACTACTGAAAATAAAATAGTCAAACTTAAGGAGGGGAATCGCATAAAAACATTTCAAAATTACATAAAATTTCCATATTAAGAAAAGAATCCATATTTTACCTTGCCCAGATCAGTTGTTGGCTTGCAAAAGTATTCAGCGAATGACAGCAATGCTGGATCAGAAGTGAATGCGGAAATGGCCTCCGGCTAAAAGGAAAAGAGAGAAAACAGTGTGTGCTTAACTGATTATCAAGCAACATCCGTTACGTTGAACTACACTTTCCTATAACTCTAAATGCTTCATTTACAGGGGGAGCTTTCCACATAAAATGGGATATGCAGCCATAAACGTAGTAGTAGGAAACAAGGACGTAAAACAAAAAGCAGTTGTTATTTCTTAAATTGGGTCATTAGAAGACAACAGCAATGGCAGCTGACAGCTTCTGACTTGCTGTTGAGGATTTCAAGTCAACTGCAGCCAAAAATATTTGAAAAAATAAACAAGAACTGGGAAGGGTTAGAATTTGTCAAGTGCTTATTGCTGTGTGTTCCAAATTCTCCCCTCACTTTTTATCCTTGCTACACAAGCACAAGAAATTGGGGAACCAGGGGCAAGCAAAACAAGAAGGTGCAGACAGCAATAAAAACCTTCATATGGGTTGTCTGCAATGCTGTGGTGAGGCACAAACACACAACCAATAGTAATAATAAAAACATTGCAGGAGTTTTTGTTGATGTCTTTTCCTGTTAGAGACACACAGAGGGGACTTTATCAAAACTGAGGCAGACAGAATCTGGAGCAGTTGCTCAGGGCAACCAATTCAGCGTGTTCAATTAGTATTTGAAAAAGAAAGAGAAGCTGATTGGTTGCCATGCACAGCTGCTTCAGTTTTGATAAATTCCCCTCAGAAAATATTAACGCTTTCCCATTTTATTCAAGAATGAAAATTTTTATTGGAGTTGGGCTGTAAATTAAATTTGTCTTGGCGTACAAAGTGCCAAAATGTAGCACTGAAGCACTGAAGATAGCCCAAGGCACCTTGGGCTATCTGCAAGTAGTTAGTCATTAAAACAATTCCTGTGGAGCCCATCGGGTCCTAGGCCCAGGCTTTACACATAAAATGGGCCTGGTCGGGAAAAGCCACTCGTCCTGCCATTCAACTGAAAGCTGACAGAAAGGGGGGGGGCTTAAAATTGACTGGGAGAGAATTTGTGGCCCTACACACAGCCTAGTTTAGAAACCAAAAGCCTTCCATAGGGCCGCAAGTACTGATCTGAGGACGTAAACAGCCACATTGTGCCTGTACTCCAGAAGTACTTTTTTCTCTTGGATTACAGTGCAACAAATCTTACGCTGGCTAGAAATAATTTTCCTAGCAAAACACTAACAGCTATTCCATAGTTGCTACCAACTATTGCAACAAAATCACTCATGAGATATAGCCTCAGGGAAGTAGGATTGGGTCCACATAATTTGTTTGACACAATTGTCTTTTATGGTTGATCTATCGCTCCCATCCTCTTATGCTTTAGATTTCTGATAGTGTCCTGCTGGAACTATATATGCGTCATCATTTGATTCACCATACAAAAGATACCAAAAGGGAAGACAGAGCATGTTTGAACTTCTTATTTATTTAAAGAAAAAAGTGTGTAAAGGAAACATTTACATTGTAATCTTCGCAGCATTCCCACGGCCAAACAAAACAAGCATTTTCTATAATCACATACAAGATCAGTGTCTGGGAAAATAAAGGCTTCTCAAATGAACATAAATCTTAGAAACTTTTCAGAACAATGTTTGAAATGAAGATATAATATTTTGTGGGAGCGTTCCTACTGAAAGAGCCAAAAAGAAGTAATCTTTAATGACATAAACTGCATACGATTGTAAAAAGCTTTGTTGCAAAGATTAGCATAATATTTCTTGCTTGATTTCTTTCACCTGATATTTAAAGGTCAGCTCCATTAAGTTTTGTTTTAAACTAAGTGTAAATTACACTTCGGTCACTAAATACTTTCAAGAGTATAGGTGCTTTGCAGTAGTCCTGGCACACATCCAATCCTTGAATGCTTATCTGCTGATTGAAGTTTTTGGCTCCATAGATATCTATACTGAGTGAGCTTCAAGGATAAAAGGGTGCTGGGAGAGGGAGCACTGAGGGGTTGCCATATTTTTTTAAATACTTAAAGCTCAACTCTAAGAATATCTTAGCATTGTAGTATGTTATTCTCTGAACTTCTACCACACCCACATGGTTAATGTTGTCCCTGTTTGCTTCTAGCAACGTACATAGCTCTTTACACTATCTTTTTCTCTAGCGCTGTTTGGAAGTCTAGGGCGGCAAGTGGGTGTTTCTGTCTGTAGCCCACAATTCTCTGGGACCTGTGTAGTTTTAGGATAGTTCTGGGTAAAGGGGGGGGGGGAGGTATTTCTTAGAGTCAGAAAGTCTATGTCAAAGCTGGACTCGGAGGTAACTGGGCAGAACTGAATGCCTATTGCAATGCATTCAATCCCACCTATCATCGGCATTTGTAACATGTTGACGTCACTTTTTTAGTCTCATGGACAGAACTCCTGCAGGAAGAGGCTATGCGAAACTTACACAGCTGTAAATTGGGCATTAAAAGAGAACTATGGGGTAAGTGTTTTTCCCCATAATTCTCTTAAGGGTCACCCTAGGACATATACTAACCTCCTCCCGTGACCCAAAGCTTAGTATATCGCGAGCTACAGCTCGCGGTATACTGAGACCGCCGCAGCCGGGACGGATCCCGACATTACTGTTGAGATACACCCAGCTGCGTAAGTGACAGCTGGCTCTGCCTATCTAGAGGCAGAGCCAGCTGTACCCACCCCCTCTGTTCCTCCACTCAGCGCTGGAGGATCGGAGCAGGGAATCCCTGCGGTGAGCCATGACTGACAGTCACGGCTCTGTGCAGGGATACGATCGAGAAGTGAGCGAGTGACGGTATGTGTTCGCTCACTTCCCGATCTAGTGAGTCGACGTGTGCCAGTTTAATTGTCACACGTCGGCTCGAACTATGAGGCTGAGTGATTTTCGCTCACCTCAAGGTTCTAATTTAAGGTGAACAAGATTGTGGTCCATAGCGGGGTGGGGCTAAGAGTGGTGGCTACTTTACAGCCCACACAGGAACCGTGGGAACAGGGGTGGCCGCCCTCCAGGGGGAGGAACGATGTCCGCACCAATTCAGGAGCAGTTTCAGGATCGCCAGCCGAGTGATACACAAATCAGGTCCAGTATTGTTGGTGGTTAGCTGGATGCATTTTTGGGATTTGACTCCTGAGTTTGGTGTTACTTTAAGTCTCTGATATCATTAGCTAAATGTTCTCATCTTCAGATGGAACTGCTGCCGACATGTGTCTGCTGTTTGTTATTAAATGGATTAGTCGGAATCAAATGGGAATTGGTTTATGCTAGAGAACTTATTTAAGACACATTTAAAATCACAATTTCACTAGAATATGTGACTGTCTACTTTTTTAATATACAGTATGAATTACCAAAATCTAATTTGTGCTTCCTTTCTTATTTTGCGCTAACTAAATAGGAAATCAGCTAACTAGGAAATCAGAATTCAATTGAATCAGTGTTTTTCACATCTGTTTGGTGAATTCAGATTAACTATTGGTCCAGATTGTTAATTCACTATAATTCCTGCCCCAAGCCCTATGCAGGTATGTTCTTCTAAAGGCTGTGGTTGCCCTTGTACTGTGATTATCAGTTCCAATGTCAATATCCATTTAAATGTGAAATAAAAAAAAATTTCCATTGCTTGTTTCATTATTGCCCAGGGTGATACAGTTATTAAAAACCAGGCTAGTATCCAGTACATGTTCCAATCAAATATTTTTTTATGCATACACGTTTTGCATTTTTGTTTACAACCGCCTAAAATAAAAGGTAACCTGACCAAGAAAAAAAAAAGAAAAGGTGAACGAGAATGTAATATTTACTTAAGGATTACAAAGAGGCTGGTGATATGGGAAAAAATGGACTGCAGGACAAATGTTAGGAGGTATTTTGTAAAGCATTCCACTAACCTCCTATAAATCTTTAAAATAAAAATAACCAAAGGGTTTTCCTTTTGTTTTTTAGAGTGTGCTTTATTGCTGTTATTTTGCTTATAATGCATACTCTTCTTCAAAGGGAGAGCAGCATTTATAAAACTTGTCCAAAGGGTGCTTGATCCTACCCCACCTGTATCCCTGATGCCTTAAAGAAGATCTCTGCTCAACTTTATCTGCCTTTTAAACAGACCGCGAAATACAGGTTTTATCTCAATGAAAACTCGGATAACAAGCAGCTGTGAAAATTACTGATCTGGTCATAAACTGTGCAATTTTATGGCAATTGCAACCAATTTCAACCACCTATTGATCACAAAAAGATGAACAGATAAAACAACTTACCATCAACAGTTCTGATTGTTTCACCCTATTAGTAGGAACTATTGGTGATTGATTGCTTTTATCTGCTCACTACTTCTTGCAATCAAAAACTGGTTGTAAAAATCTAAACAGCTATACCATTAGAAAATACATAAAGGATTTTGTTTAGGCTGGAGGTTTTTTTATCTTTCACTTTTTCTCCATAAAAGTAGAATCCACCAAATTATATTAAAAAATATAGCAGTTAGCCACAAAAAAAAAATACACTAAAAAAATCAGTCAGTAGCATCTGAGCAAAGTGAGGGCTAGTGTTAACATTTGCCTCTCTCGTGGTCACTTTAACACACTGGAACTCTTCTAAGTTCATGAGTGATGATTTGGAAAGAGTAAAGTTAAGAGTAGGCTACAGAAATGGAATGCCAAGACGCATCAATGTTCACTACAGTCAAGGACAATGATACCTTAAATGTACGAGCTTCAGAGTTTCTTGGAGTAACAGTCTGAGCGAGTAAACTTCTCCAGCCCATGGGGTCTTCTTTATAGGACAACTGTCCGGCACGAAGCTTGACATACAGAACACCATCTTTAGAAAGGATTGAACTGAAAGAGAATGATCGAGATTTACAAGTGTTAATTTGAGCCACCTTTTTTTTCAAATTGGGATACTTATTATTAACTGAATAATTTCTCACCCATACAAGTTTAACTTCAATTATTTTTTATTGAACATTTTCGGTTATACACAGCAAAGGGATAACAGTGTCGATCAACAGATCAGGTCCAGGGAGGACCAAAAGGACAAATCAAGAAGGAAAGAAAGGAGAAAAAAATAAAAAAAATAAATACACTTGTGGAACCGATAATCTCTGAGCCCTCAACCTGCACCTGGGACTTGACAAAGTCTCAAGAGTCAGCCAATGATGAACTTAGTGCAAGTCCGGTGTTTAAAGTCATGGGGGGGAAGTACCCATACAAGTTTAAAAGTGAATGCTATCTAAATCAACCATTCCACATGTATGCATTTTGAGTTTTCTTGGCTTGTAACTATATTTTATTGTCCAACATTGTGTAAAATCAGATGGTAGGAATATCTAGATATAAATTATACATTTAAAACTGTTTTAAAATGTACATATTTTATTTATATTACATACTTTAGCTGTTGCGTTCCTTTCCGTAAATCGATAACAATCTCCCAGTAGCGTGGACCCTTCACTTTTATCTAGCAGTGAAAGGAAATTAGACAATGTGTGAAAATCTAAAATGCACTGAGCACAGAAGACAGATAAACAGATAAATAAGGCAATATCATGCTGTTCAATTCAGCTAAATTCCTATCTCATCTAAGCTAACCACAGGGTGGAGGGCCATCTCAGCACAAACTCTGTATACCATTAAACATTGTTTACTTTCAAAGAACTAGTCACAACTGAGCTTTATACAAGAACCTGTATACTCAGGGATTAACTCTTTCAAATGTTTATTTTTAGCATACTCTCAAACTTCTTCCATGTTTTGCACAGACATTAAAAATGTGTATTTTTGACTTTAAGATTACTTAAAACCCCCCCAAAAAACACAACTGTAGGCCAGCACAGGATGACCTCTCCTACTACCAGCACGCCTTGGTTTTGTAGCAAAGATGTGCCCCTCAATAAACTCAAAGAAAAGGATTTTTACGGTGAGTACAGAAATTATTTTTTCCATTGAGAGACACAGCAAGACTTAAACCTTCAGAATGTCCAGAAGCAGTCCAACTGAGGGGTGGGCAACACAGCAAAAGTGTTAATAGAAAGCAAAGCTGGGAAATGCTTGCAGCTCTACGAGTTGCTGAAGGACCTTAGATCTGAAGCTAGCATCAGATGAGGCCTGAACATCCACCTGGTATAACTATAGAAAATGTAAACAGATGACCAGGTGTCAGTCTCATAAATTGGGAAATAGTAGCCCAATGCCAAAAAGCCCTCGCTGACCAAGTAGAATGCTCCTTGACAAGGAGCATTCATTGAACGATTGGAACCAAAAGTTTGAATAATGATCTATCTGAGCCACCTAGAGATGGTGGAACCAGAAGCTGGTGCTCCCTTTCTGGGAACTTCCAAGATGACAAAAGAATCAGTCTTTCTCTAGGATGCAGTGGCTGTGATATAGACTCTCATAGCCTGAGCCACATCCAGGCTTTATTTATGGAGCTAATACACACTTGTTAATTCCTCCCCATGTGTGCTCAACTTTGAACACGTTTCATTATTCCAGTCTACTCATAGATCACTATCAATAAGCCAGAATGGTGAAAAACGTTAGTGTTGAGCACAAGTGGGGAGAAACTAACAGTATGAATTTGATCCATAAATAAAGATTTTTATCTTTCTGAATTTGGTCCGTCATACAACTTGCTACATTGCCAAGTATCTGATGGTAGATGTTCCTGACCATGGAATTGATTACTTCTAACTAAAGGTGGCCATACACTCTACAACCATCGCAAGACTTTAGTCTTGCGATGGTTGTAAAGGGATTAAAAAAACGTACGATCTGCCTATCTTGGACAGGCAGATCGCACTCTCGATCATCGCAAGCCCGCCCCCCTGAGGGGCGGGCTTACGATGACCGCAATGCTGAACGGGCAGTGTGCGCGTGCGCACACCGGCCCGTTCAGCATTTATCTTCCGAGCACCGTTCTAACCAGCCGAGAATCGTACGATTCCCGGCTGGTTTTCGAACATGCTGGTTCGACAGAAGACGTGCGACCGTACAGTAGAAACGGTCGCACGTCTCCGTTCACACTGCTCGATTATCGTACGAAAAACCGATCGCATACGATTATCGTACGATAATCGTGCAGTGTATGGGCACCTTAAGTGTGAGCTTGGAGAGGCCTGAGCAATATGCTTGGACCATTCAGGTGTGCCTAGGGCATCATGATGTCTTAATACAGCCCTGCTAACATCCTCTTTTATAGCAGATGTATAGTAATTAGGCTTACTTATGAGTATTACGCTACAATTTGCACATGAATTACTAAACATTCCAGTTTATTAAAATGTTCATCAAAGATCAAAAAAATCGAAGCTGACAACCTGAAAAATAACTTGCCAACTGTGAGGTGCCCCCTAACACCTGGTGTAAAAGCAAACAAAAGTAAAAATATTTGTAAATAAGTAAAATGCACATCAAGAGAGGCACATCATGCAAATTGACAACAAAATTAAATGCAAATAACGCCGCCTGCCCTTGGCAAAAGTTTTCATGTGTATTTGTGAACCCTGCTCCTGCAATCCTGGGCAGCCAACTGAGACAGGTGTACAACAGAATCACCACTGCAAATGAAACAGATTTACACTCAAAACACATACACAATTAGGAAGTGGTCGGGGGGTGTTAATTCTGTTACAAGACTGCATGGCTGGAATATATGAATGAAGCTGCCAAATTATAATAAATCCATCTCATAACCAGTCTCACCGCTCCTGTTTCTCATGGTCATTCTGTGGAACGGAACTGATGCATGTTCCCCTGTCTCTGTGTACCTGTTTAAGAAGATGTAGCTCTGGAAGCAGCGTGGGTGCCATAAGTTCTTCTGTTGTCTCTTTGTACCACTGAGTTCCCTGTCATGAAAACATAGAGAACACATCAGCCATAAGAACCGTTAAATTGTACATTACACAAAAGGCTTTCACCAATACCGCCACAGTTCTTGCATCCAATAAAGATTGTGTTAATACTAGAGGTGCACTAGAGGTGGAAATTTTAAAACAGAAAATATTTGTCAGGCCGAAACCGAAAATTTGTTTTTTTATTTACATTTTTACACATTTTAAAAATATTTTATTTTTATTTATTTTTTATAAACTTTTACATTTTTTTAATATTTATTTTTAATAAAATATTTTAGTTTTTTTACTTTACTTTTAGGGGGCTTTGGGGAAATATTGGGGGTCTAAACAGACCCCTGATATTTCCCTTTTAAAATAGAAAAAGAGATTTAGGACACAAAGTCCTCTATCTCTTTTTCTGTGTCCCCTGTTATCAATGAACAGGAATCCTCTATGAGTGTTCCTGTTTATTGATAACATGAGGACATGGTATATTTACTATAACCACAATCATGAATGAACAGTCTCCACCCACACACTGCTCTGCCGGACTGTGATAGGAGGCTGAGCGGTGTGGGAGGAGAGATGCCGGCCGCTCACAGGGCTCTCCTCCCGCAGTGCTTGGCAGGCTGTCACACTTTCTCTCCTCCTCGCTGGGACACAGAGCAGCGCCCATCGGGAAGGAGAGAAAGCAGGGATGCGTCGATGTATCGGCAGGAAAATTGCACTTTCGGCATTATGCCAAAAGTGCCATTTCAGCCGATATGTTTCGGTGGCCGGTATATCGGTGCATCCCTGGTTAATACAATACATACCTTTATAGGGTACCATTTCTGGCTGTCGGTTAGTATGCAGTTTTAGAGTGTGTGGCTGGTAGCCTATGGCTCCTCTGTTATTTACATTTCACAATGCAGAATAAAGTTAGTTTTGTAGAGCACAATGGCTCTAGTTAGGCAGCTCATGGACACACAGGAGCCTCAAGTGGGACCTTAAGTCAGATGCAGAAGTTTTGGTACACACAAGGCACAACCAGCTGCTGAAGCCTGCTTTGGAAGGCTTCAGGCTTTTCAAGGTCACCATCTATTCCAGTCTGCCATCTGTTCCAGACAGTGTCTCAAGTGCTTATGTAGGTAGTAATCCCTAAAATGTACTACCTGTTTATGATGTAATAAATACTTCTTGACTCTGCAACTGTTGTGGCGTCGGGTCTCTCCCTTACGGTGGACCTGAACTCAAAACGTGAAGATCTGTTACGTTATAGGGAACATCCAACATGCCCAAGCACAATTATTATGCAATACTGCAGTATACTTCCTGTAAGTGTGCCAAGGAACCCCTGTGCTTACAGCCTCATAACTGTATATCTGCATGTGAATCTAAGACACTAATGCCACTGACTTCTAGTCTCAGGGGATTGGGAGTGAGATCTGGTGAGATCACTATTGTGCTGCTCTCTGCTATCCTTGCTGAAGCCTCTGACATGAGGAAGTCCTCCCTCTACTGAGATGGTCCCCCTCCACAAAATCTAAAGCAGTTGTGAATTGCAACCAATCAGCTTCTCTGTTTCATTTCCAAATCTTAAATACAAACGGAAGAGAGAAGCTGATATGTTGCCTTGGGCAACTGCTCCAGATTTTGTCTGCTCCAGTTTTGATAAATTCCCCCATAGCGCTGAACAAGGCATAGTAAATCACTGTGGGAAAGATCAAAAAGCATTTGTTAGCTTTTTATTTTACAATTATTAAAATACAAAATATATAATGATGATATAGCTAGTAAGGTATCGGTCGATGCCAACCGTGAGGCCTCAAGTTAGAGGAGTAGTCCAGCCTCCATCATCCGAGGATCAGCTGTCCTCTCAATATGGGCCGGGGAGGGTGGGATGCAGTCAGTCAGCTGAATAAGTACACAGGGGCGCAGAGCTCAGTGCTCACACGTCTCTACGGCTCCATTGCTTGGCCACGCCACGCATTCTATCTTTTGAATGTACTGTACAGCATTTTTCCTTGAAGAACTGGATCTATTCAAAAAACACAGTGCAGCACATGTGTAAATGCATGGCTGTGTCAGAGATGTGTCCTGAGCAGCCAAATATTAAGGAGGCAAACTTCCTTGAGGGCCCATCTGTATGTACAAACAGCCCCCCTCCACTTGTAGAAATGTCATTGCACCTTCATGCAGAAGGTGTATCAAAAGGGTTAGCTGTTCTCTCCATCAATCCATACAAGTTTAGTTGGAGTTAGACTCTGGGGTCCTACAGGTGCCTGCTACCGAAGTAGATATATGATAAAGGTGGTCTTCCTTCGACGGCCTTCTGCAGTGAGCCAGGAGCACATAGAGCTAATCACACAAAGCATGCACAAGCTCAGTGTACTTTCTTATCATGCCTCTGTGCTGGAATCAATGAACTCCCGTGAGCACAGGAGGGAGTTGCATCATTCCCCCCCACCAGCCAATCAAAATGGCCTAAGACCCTGCACATGGAAAAAGCTGGGGAGAAGATGTTGGCATCTGTGAGGAAAGGCTAGTTAAGTACTACTTTGGCATTGGCAACATCCATATTTTCTTCTTAGGGCTAACATTCATGGGCTATTGAGTTCATATAAGGCAAGTCAGAAATGAGCTTCTGCTTTGCTTATGCTCATACAAACAATTCAATTTAAAAACACAAAAGTCTAGTGTACTAGCCCTTAATCATTTTCCACCGTTCTGCATGAACCACAGTCTACTGGCTCAATTTGACCAACCCGAGTAAAGAAAGACTAGAGGAAAAGAAGAACTTCTGATTATAGCATAAAGGTTCTTTGCTTCATTTTCAATTAAAATGAAAGCAAATTGCCTGCTTAGGTAACATTTTAGAAAACTGCTCCAGAGATATGTGCAAGATAAAAGTGTGCGTGTTGACAGGCTAGAGTAGAAGAGAACAATAAGAGACACAGTGCAGGAAGCAAGGTAGTCTATGGGTGAAAATTACAGTGTGCATGTTAGATTGAGAAAGAATAAACGATTAAAAGAGTGTTAGACAACATTCCCCTAATCCATTCTTAGTAATTGTTAAACAACAATTCTGTGACTCCTGCGCATTACACATAAAAATTCCACAGAACAAAAAGTTATGTTGCAATATTTGCACTATGCCAAAAGCCTAAGTTCAACAGAAAATGTCACGTATGATTTCCCACTTGATGTTCATTTATTGGAAATAAAAAAATATATATTATATTGACAAGGTGCTAATGATGTAATCCTCTATCTCCCCACATGCCCCTAGAAGTTTACCATGCAGGATTTGCTTCAGTTATTCATTGATGGTTCCACCTGGTCTATCAGTCATATTCTTCCAGCAACTGACTTAAAGTGCAGGCAGTACAGCGTTAAATACAGTTCTCAAAAAATGATGTAGGCACACAAACTTCCTTGGAAACTTTCATACTAACCCATTCTGCCTGGAAAGTACCTTAGGAGGGCCTGTAAAAGTGGTGCTAGGCCTTTTCTAAGGTATAATAATCTGCCTGGAATTTGTAGCTGCAAAAGGGTTTGTTTGGGTAAAATATGGAAATGCTCTGCAAAGTGCTGACAGTTATCGTTGCCAGAGATGCGATTTATGTTTTTCACAGCTCTCCACGTTAGTCAATCACTATGCTCACTTCTAGTTATTCTTACCACTAGCAAAATTACATTGTAGCACAAACAGGGAGCAGAAGGGGGAAGTTGCAGAGAAAAACCTACGGGGAGAAGAAGTGAGTGACACAGGGGGCAGGCAGTAGCAAGTACATCTGTTGCAGATTCTGTATACTCCCTTTTCACTCCTCATAATGGCACTTAGAGGTCTACGTACAAAAAAATGCGTTGTTATCCTTCCAGCAAAACTGTACATACATTTTTTTTCTGTGGGAATTAGGGAGGAAATTGAATGTTCTTAGGCTATAACAGTACAAAATGAGACATCTGCCCTCACTTGTGTGTACAAAAAAAACAAAAACATGCAGCAGAAAACAGTGATTGTAAAACTGTAATCCCCCAATGTACAAATGCAGATTATAATTTTTGTATTGCATTAGCTTTGTAAAGTATATGATTTAGCTGGCTGTAATAAACACACACACACCTTTATTTAGGCTGCTGTTTTAGGTTTGTTTGGTCAACTGTATTTAGGCTGTTTTAGGCTATTTTTAGTCATATGCATTTACATTTTATTTTCTCTTGGTTGGTTGAATGTTCGTAGTCTATTGTTTTAGGCAAATTTCTCTACTGGTTTTTAGGCTAATTTCTTTCTGTCGTAAAGTTACAGTGCAAAAGAGACATCTGCCTACGCTTGTGTGTAATACAACCTACAGGAGAAAACAGATTATGAAACTGTGATCCCTCAAGGTACAAATGCACAAGGTATGCTATTGTGGCACTTATCTTCACGTACAGCAGTACAAGCATCAGCACAACATGCATATGTGCTTTATCCAACACCAATGTCTAAAGAATTGTCACAGACGGAGAAGTTGCCAATATAGAAGTAACAATAGTAATCAGTAAAGTAGGAATTGCTATCTGCTAACTTTGCAAGATAAAGTATCTGTGTTTACTTCAAAAAATTTGCGACTCTGCTTAGGCCCTTTGGAATCTGCATACCCCAGCAGCATATACAGTACATGGGGTGACACCACTTTCTGTATAACAGCGAAGGATCACCATATGTCTCAGCTTGCTAATGAGCTCATCTTTGTGCTCATCCCTTCAGTAAGCATGGAGTTCAATTGATGGGACTATGGAATGCATGTTCATTGAACTTAAAAGTAAATTATTATTTTTTTTTACACAATTGTACTTTGGGGCTGTCGTCATCCTTTCCTTAGTGCTGAGCAAGACACATGCTGAGAATATTCATCATCACTCCACTGATTAAATATATGTATTGGGTTAGCAATGCACAAACTGGTGATGATTTTGGTCTCCAAAACTTCAAGGTATCCGCATGTGGGAAAGTTTTTTTCATTTTAAGTACCTTCTTTCAGTGGACAACAAAAATCACAAAGCTATAGACCCATATAAAATGTTATACAAGACTTCACATTCCTACTTCTCAGTACCGCTTCTTTCCCATGCAGGGCTGTCATAGTGGACCTACCCCACCTTGACACATTTGACATGACACCCACCAACATACATGTGTCAAAGCCTTTCTGCTAGTCCTGTCCTCTTTACAGTGCAATGCTGCAAAGATGCAAAGGACCTATTGGACAGGTAACAAGGCATCTACGAGCCATATGAAATGTAGCCGAGACATAATCCCAAGCTGGGAAAAGCATTACTAAAAACTGGCTAAATGATAAAAATTGGGGAGCAAAAAAATGTGTACGTTATAGCTTACTTTATACGTAACCTCCAGCAGTACATAGCAGGGTGTGTTGGTGTCTACATCCACAGGGACCAAGAGCCTCGGCTCAGCAGATAGCACATAGAGGTGACGTAAAGCTTGAAGGTGATACCTGTTTAAACACAAACATTAAATACATCTTGTGCTTTATTTTCATACAACTAGGCAATGGATAAAATATTGTTTATTACTGCATGCCATGTATGCTATATATGTTGTGTGAAGGTGAAACAACAATACTTCACCATCTAGACCAATGCAAAATATGTATTAATTAGGCAAGAAATCCTAAACAAACCTCCAAGCTGTTAGAGCCCATGGGAGTATGAGTGAAAACAGACCTGGCCATTACAAACAATTTCATTGAGTTATAAAGTTGAAAAAGTGTAAATACTTACCTCTCAGGCAGCAGGAGAGGTACAGTATATTATTATTATACAGGATTTATATAGCGCCAACAGTTTGCGCAGCACTTTACAATACGAGGAAGACATTACAATCATAATACAATATGGCAAGGAGGACCCTGCCCGTGAGGGCTTACAGTCTAAAAGGGAGGGGCCAGTGATACATGAATTGTTTGAGAAAGTGATGGTTGAGGGGGGAATAGGCTTCCCTGAAGAGATGAGTCTTTAGGGATCGCCTAAAGGCAGTCAGGGTGGGAGATAGACGTAGACGGACAGGTTGGGGTAAAGGGTTCTGGAGGATGGGAGAGACTCTAGAGAAGTCCTGGAGGTGAGCATGGGAAGCGTTAACAAGGGAGCTGGAAAGCAGGAGGTCTTGGGAGGAGCAGAGGGGACGGTTAGGGTGATATTTTGAGACAAGGTTTGAGATATATCCGGAGTCAGAGTTGTGAATGGCTGTATAAGTGATTGTTAATATTTAGAATTTTATCCTTTGGGCGAGTAGAAGCCAGTGCAGGGATTGGCAGAGGAGGGCTGCAGACACTGAGCAGGTGGTTAGGTGGATGAATCTGGCAACAGCATTCATGATAGACTGAAGGGGGGATAGCCTGTGTAGTGGAAGGCCAATGAGGAGGGAGTTGTAATGGTCAAGACGAGAGATAACAAGGAAGTGGATGAGTAGTTTTGGGGTTTCATTGGTGACGAAGGGGCGTATTTTGGATGAGAAATAAATTATACACATACACACACACATACACACACACACACACACACACACACACTCTTTACAGGGGGCTGCTTTATTTTAATTTTCAGATCCGTAACAGGGTCACTTTAGGGACAAAACCCCTTATAAAACAAAAATATGCACTGAAGGGTATTCTGGGACACATGCAATAGGACAGACTCAAAAAATAAACAGTAATATCTGCTGCATCAACATTAACCTTCTTATCTGTGCCAGAGTAACAACTGAATCAAATTGGTTACAATGGCCAAGTCTATTTTCAGGTATGCTTCTATCAGCTCCGATATTTCTGTGACAACACAATGAATGAACGTCTCTGGTCACAGGAAAAATGTGCAGGGGGCCGTAAACGTGGCTTCTGCGGTTGTCAAATTGATTTCCAAATCACTTTTATTGGTTAGGAAACTTTTCTTCCTCTTTAGTTTTTAACCCCTTCATGACTGAGGCCCTTTTTGGCGACAGGTAAGTCGCCAGGATCGCTTCTGTTGTAAAGCCGACAGTCGGCTCTACAAGTTTAAACAGACTCCCGGCGGCAAAAGTGCCGGGAGTCTGTTTAAACAGCCCCGATGCTGGCGACGTACACTGTACGTCGTCAGTCACGAAGGGGTTAAACTAAAACAATGGATTGTGTTTGCACATCTCTTATTTGCTCTGTAATACAAGCATTTCATGTCTCAATATATGTAATACAATAGAATAACTCCATCATTTAAAAACCACAATTCTATTGTGTACATATATTGAGGCATTACAATCTTTAACTACACAAGAAATAAAAGGTGTGCAAACACAATCAATTGTTTTAAAGGAGAACTATGAGGTGAGTGCTTTTCACTCACCTCATAGTTCTAGCCGACCTGTGACAATGAGACTGTCACAGGTCGGCTCAGTATATCGGGAGGTGAGCGAACACATAATGGCGTTCGCTCACCTCTCGATCCTGTCACGGCTCTCTGCCGTGACAGGGGAGGGGCTGGATTCCCCCCTCCCCGCTCCGATCCGCCAGTGCTGACTGGCGGAACGGACGGGGGAGGGGGCGGGTACAGCTGGCTCTGCCTCTAGATAGGTAGAGCCAGCTGTCACTCACGCAGCTTGGCGGATCTCGACATCGATGTCGGGATCCGCTCCGGCATCTCAGTATACCACGAGCTACAGCTCGCGGTATACTGAGCTTAGGGTAACGGGAGGATGCTAGTTTGTGTCCTCCCGTTACCTAAGGAGAACTATGGGGAAAAGCCCTGACCCCATAGTTCGCCTTCAAGTGACTTTTCAAGAGCTTCAACTCTATCAGTGACTATCCCAGAAAGGAAGTATAAATAGATTTAAATGTATCAATAGAAGAATGACACACAGAACAAATGAACTCCACAGTAAGAATTCAAAATTATGATATAAGGAAATCTTTCAGACAAACATTTACCTGTTATCTGTGCTGTGAACAGGAAAATGAGGATAGAGAGCACACAGCAGAGCTGCAATTGAAGAATTTGTGGTGCTTAATGAATACCTAAAAGAAGAAAGATCAAACATTATACAGTAAAGTTACAGTCATTGAGCAGGCTGAACTGAGGCAAGCATTCCTGAGTAGCTAACATGTTATTTATTAGGTTCTATTAGCCTAGAATGAAATTAGGGGTAGTTACATGATAGATACACAGATATATGTAAGGGTACTTTAACATACATTGTTTGTGTGTGCCATTTACACTTTCAGCCTTACCCTGCGCATAGATTTTCCAGCTTGCGGGAAAACCAATCTAAGCACCAGCAGGCTGAGAGTAACCGTCACTAGAGCAGGTCAACTAAACATTTAATGCTTTACACACACACCATAGCTGCCACCATGGATTTGATTCTGACCTTTAAAAATGTCTACCACTCACTGCCACCCCCAGATAAGAATGTAACAGAATTTACACTACAGAGGCTGGGTTCTTCATTTCTAGTTGGAGTATTCAGAGATTCAGCTTAATTTTAAATTATTGTTTAATGAAAAAAGGAAAATAAAAAGCAAGAAATATTTACAGAAAAAGTACTAAAAAAACCCAGACGTAAGCAACTGTAAAATTAAAGGGTTTAAAAGTGAAGAATACTTAAGTAGAGTCCGCCTGGTCTGGGAACAGTGCAGAGTTCAGATCATTTGAAGATTAAAAGAGAAGTAAATGCCAAACTTTTTTTTCTGGTTTACAGGAGTACATTTAATAATGTACTCCGGTGGACTACTGCCCGCAATCTGCTGACTGGGCAGAGCCAGGAAGGACCCCAACAATATTTTTGGTATCCACCTGGTTGCCTAATTGACAACTGACTCTGCCTTTCTAGAGCCAGAGCCAATTGTGCCTGCCCCTTCTCCTGTCTGTCCCTCTAGTGAGCACTGGAGAATCAGGCGAGAGAGAATCCCTGCAGGGAGTGGTGACTGACAGACCATGAGCTGAGTGATGAGTGGTCACAAGACCGCTCAGCTCTTGGTATAGAGCATGTTTTACTCTAGCCACACTTCACCTTTAAGTCCAGTCTGATATTGCAGGAGTGACTGGCCCTCTTAACATCACTCTCAGTAATGTGGATACATCTATATTTCAGTGGGACAAGGTTTCACAACTCAAAAAAACTGCATAATATTCCGCAGTTGGTAATTACAATGTTACATACCAAATGTGACATTTCTGAGAAGTTTATTTCCTTCATTAAATGAAGGAGGCCTACTGTGTCTTATTAGCCTTCTGCACCTTGTTACATAGGTGTAGCCAGTGTCTAGAGCGGTATATTCTACATTAGTGAAGCTACTTTATAGGAAGAATCTCAATTGCATTATGAGTTATGGAATATGAATGGAGGTGACAGTTTGATATGTTTGAGAATTCAACTATAAGTCAATATCCCAAGACTAACAGATGTGTATTCCTTAGGGCTTGTTGACACCAAAGTGCGTTCCAGCACGGTTAGCTGCTGGAACACATTGTATCGCATAGCAAACTTCCCCCTGCATTCTCGGGCGGGTGGAGGCACCGCATTTACAACAGGGCCTCATCAGAAGTCTTTTGAGGACCCTGGATAGTTGAGGTTGATGATGTTTTCGCATTCCTCCAAGCTGGACTGTGCGTTGTCGAATGTGTCACCTTCCATGAATGCCTACCACAGGGCTCAAACTTTAAAGTTCTAAGTTACTAGCCAGGCCTTAATAGTTACTCGCCACAAGTTGTCCCACTAACCCCTACCGTGCCCCGGCCTTTACTCCGTCAGGTCAGCAGTGTGACGCAGAGTACAGAGATCAGTAACAACGCCAGTACAGAGACTGGCGTTGTGATGCACAGTACAGAGACCGGCGGTGTGATGCACAGTACAGAGAGCAACTTTCACACGGGCTTCCAATGACTTCAATGCTGAACGGGCAGTGTGCGCGTGCGCACACCGGCCCGTTCGGCAGTTGTCGAAGAAGCAGGCCACTAACCCACCGAGAATCGCACAATTAGGCTAATAGCTCAAGATCACAAGTTTCTTTTTTAATCACAAAGATAGGGGTACTTAGGTGGAAAAAAAAAAAAAGAAAAACCTCCAAAATGTCAAGCACAAGGTACAAGCAAATTATTGTAGAAGACAGCGACTCACCTTCCACCACCAAGGAACAGCAGACCGAGGGCCATGTGGTGAGCCAGGTGGAAACCATAGTTCATCTCTCCCCCGATTTTCTTGTGCATGAATCGGCACAGCTGAAGAACTTTGAGATTCCCAGAACCAGCCATTACCATAGCGAGTGACAACGACACCACACTCAGACATGTCTCCAGGTTATAATGACCTGTCTAGGAGAGAGCATGACACCAGAAGCTTACATGCTTATATCCTAAGCCAAATAGTTCAACATCATCAACAACAAACAGAACTTTTTGCAGGAAGCCTGAATAGTGTATTTCCCAAGAATGTTATCATGAACACAAGGCTTGCTCACTGCCAAATAGCAGCTGCAAATATGCACATATAAAGCAATGCTCCACATAACCAGATGTACCTTCACTATGAAAAAGACAAAAAAAATAAAGAGGCCAGAAACTGTACCAGCCAACAAGTTTATAGCAAACTATCACTTTCTGAAACTGTGTTGTAAATACCAAAAAAACCTTTACTTGTGTTAATACTGTACTATCATTTTTACACAGAGGTCAAAATTAAGAAGACACAGCTTAAGGGACACATACTAACCAATCACCTTTAATTATTCTGACCCCTCTAACGTGTTGAAAGATGAAATCTTTTCCTTGTTATTCCTGACCAAACTACCCCGGTCACTATCATGAGTATGGCCCAGTGAAGATCAATGAAAGGCAGATATATGCGGTGCCTCAAGTTAACTCTAGTTATCCCTTTGCTATCATTCGTGTACAATATGACAGGAAAGACTGTAAAAAGAAACTCAAGGTTTACCATAGTGTTATTATTGTATGTATGTGACTCATACTTAAAGTACACCTGTTATGAAGGAAACACGTATGCTGCCATTTTCTGCTTCCTTTAGAAAATGCTAGCTGCTCGGCTGCATCTGACTTGTAAGTCGCAGAACCTGAATAAGCATGCTCTAAATGGGGTTACAAAATAAGTTTCATTATTTGTTCAGTTACTTAGAAAGGATTTAAGCCAAAGCTTCACTATGACAGGAAAAACCTCAACATTTTCCTAAGGACAGGTCAGAAATGACAGGCAACATAAATTTCGCCACGTCGCCTATGGCCAATTTGGGGGTATTGTAGTTTTTCGAGGTTTTGCGCGCGCACAATTTTGAGGCTTGACATGCTTGGTGTCTTTTTACCCAACGTGACCCCGTCTTTTATATTTTACCAAAAAATTGGGTAATAAATGTTTTTTCATTTAATATAAGGGAAACTGTTTTTTTTTAAAAAGAAAATTCGGTAATTTTACCTTAATATAGTAAAAAATAAAACCCTCAGTGGTGAATAAATACCACTAAAAGAAAGCTCCGTCTGTCCCCAAAAAATGGTATAAAATTTATTTCAGTGCAGCGTTGCATGAAGCAATAAACGTCAAGGTACTGTAGCGCTGAACACTGAAAAATGGCGTGGATGGGAAGGGGGTTTAACACCGCGGACTTGAAGTGGTTAAATTACAGCAGACTAGCCTAAGGAGAACTATGGGGAAAAGCCCTGACCCCATAGTTCTCCTTTAATGATATCCTCGTCATGCAGATTACACTTTACCTTCACAATAGCAGTAAGGACAAAGTATAGCTGCTGTAGTACTCTCTCTAGTGCTCATGGTGGCTGGTCACATGACTAAATACTTAGGCAGATAGACATACTATAGCAAGAGGAGGATCACAGTTCAGGCCATTGACTGTTCAGCTCTGCCTGAAAATACCTTGACCACTAATATGCATTAGGTCACAGGACAGTCCATTGCAGAAGCCTGGAGTGGTGGTTTCTGAAGGCCAAGAGACTTGGAAGGGTTGGATTAACATTTCAGAGAAACTAAACAGGTTACTTACTGTACTTGCTGCTTGACCAGATAAACATTCAAAGTCTTTTGCAAATTTCCACTGTAATAAGAAATAAATGACTAAGTAAGCTCACCAAGTGATGAAGTAACTGTATTGTGCTCTGTTGCGATTATTGTGAAAGATGAACTTACCAGGCAGTTGAAAGCATCCAAGTTTGTAGATCCAGCGAATCTAAACCCCAAGGCCAGGCAAGCTCCAGCAATTATGTAAACATAAGCTTGACTAGAGAAGGATAAAAAGACACAACATTTAAAACCTGGGACAGCAGGGGTGGTGGCTATTTTTTAAGCAAGCAGCCAATGAAGTTGGGGAGACAGCCCGACATCCTGTCCCGGTGACAACAGTTTAACCAAAGGGAAAGTAAGGGTGTTTTTTTTCTATTTTTAGCAGAAGAGGGGAAGGCTAGATCAACTTTTTATTGCCATCTTAGTGGTCCATGCTGCCGATTTCACCTCACCTCCTGTCTAGTAAAGTCGTTGCTGTGAAATAAAGTAGTGGAAGTCTCTGTAATGGAGGTCTGGATAGACGTTAACAGGGGTTCTAATACTACTGCATCCTTTCCCTAATTAAAAAAGAAATGGCTGCACATAAACATCAGTTATCCCTTTGCTATCATTTGTGTGGAACATGACAGACAGGCCGGGCAAAGTAAAAAGAAACTCAAGATTTGCCATAGTGTTTTCATAGCATGTAGGCGACTCATTCTTAAAGTGCACATGTTATGAAGGAAACGCATGTGCTGCCATTTGTCTGCATCCTTTAGAAAATGCTAGTTGCCTGGCTGCATCTGACTTTTAGTGGTTCATGCTGCCGATTTCACCTCATCCCCTGTCCAGTAAAGCCGTGGTCACCATTAAATAAAGTAGTGGTGGAAGAATCTGTAAAGGAGACCTGGACAGAAGTTAACAGGGGTTCTAATCCTACTGCAGTCTTACCCTAACTAAAAAAGAAATGGCTGCACATATCCTGAGCTTACAAAGTGCTGGCTGTAAAACTAATGAATTGTCACTATATCTACAAAACCATCAGGAGATTAAAGCTGGCTGCATTGTAAATAGAGAATGGGCGGGTGGGTATTTACAATTTTGGGTGTCTAGAGAAAGGTCATGAATAGGACCATTCCCTGCTCCTCATCACATTATCTGTCTACATTTTGCATCTTTTTCTCTGTGGATTATATAGAGATGTATAAAACAAGTGTTACAGACACATACGCCAGAGTTTCCATGTTTAAGTCTTCTGATGCAGGTTGCTCTCCAGTATGAAGTGAAGCACTGTTTCCTGCGATTATCTAAAAAGCAAAATAAATAGTCTCAGAAGTGTAGGTACAATTTTAAAGGCAAACTTAAAAATGTATACGTTTCTAATTGATGCAAAATTGCCAAGTTTTTGATAATGTAATATGCATTTGGTGACACAAGATAAGAAAAACAAATGGATGCCCACTATGCCATTTATCAGTGGCCATGGAACCTGACCCTCATCCGGCTGCATGAGATACATTAGTCACCCCCATTCATTCATTAAAGGTGACAAAGCTAGCGTACACAGGTATTTGAGATTAGTGAAGTTCACACCAGTTTGTGCTTTGCATTAATTTCTCCACATAAGTCAAAGTAAATGCAAATGCATTTCAAATGAATACAAATACTGTACATGGCAAGCGCATCTGTAAAGTACCATAAATGCCTCTGTACACCATTCCTTTGGATGTTTGGTTACAAGCAGAAACAAGGGAATGTATTACTGAGCAGCTGGGAAAAAGGACTCAATTGTCCTAATCCATAACATGCCTCGCACAGGTCTACCTACCATTCAGCAGTGGAAATTAAGAAGGCACAGGAATCCAAACTCTTATATTTTAACTATACATTTAACAAGGAGATTAGATATCTATCTGTAAAGTACAAAAAAAAAAAATCTTAAAACTAACCTTCAAGCAAACAGCTCAATACGTAGATAAAATACAGGAGCTGTTTTACCTGCTAACGGATTAGCATTTATGTTTATGCTATCCTGAGGTTTACACAGTCCAGTAGGGCTGCAACAACTAGTTGCTGCTGCCACTGCTCTGCTCCACCATTCTCTCCTCCTCTCTGGGAGCCACTGAATGCAGCAGTCTGCGTCCCCTTCCCTCCACCACCTGTAAGCCCCTGTGCCTCTGCATTCCCCGTGCCCGCGCTGCCTTTCTGTTGCTCCCCCATGCCCGTGCTGCCTCTCTGTCACTCCCCAACGCCTCCCCGTGGCTTCGCTTCTGCTGGCGGTGGAAAGCCGGTGTCAAATCTCCCATCTAGCGACTGGGAGAAATAGCCAGCTTGCTATTGGCTATTTTGAATTGCAAAAGCCAATAGCAGACTGGCTATTGCACCCACCCACAGCCAGCTGTCAATCAGCAGTAGGAGGATCCGAAGGAGAGCTTTCTCCTTGGTCCCTCCTCTGCTGATTGACAGCAGGCAGTCACTTGGTGTTATAGCCAGCCTGCTATTGCAATTTAAAATGGCCAATAGCAGGCTGGCTATTGCTCCCAGCCACTGCATGCTGTATTTACATTCAGCTGCCTCAGTAGGTGGAAAGGTAATGTCACCTTCAAGATAAATTGCCACCCCCAATGTGCTATACCATAAGTGGCTTGTAAAAAAAAATTAATAAAGTTAAATTAAATTAAAAATGCCCCCCCAAAAATTTAAATTAAAAGTCCCTTGCAAATGTACGCACACTAACGGAAACACGAGACGGGTACACCTACGTATGAAAACGACGATTGTGCCAATTTTGGTGTGTTATTTTAAATAAAAGGTTGATTATTTTATTATATTGGCTGGGAGTTTTTCAATTCAGATTTTAAACCTATGAAACTAATAAAAAAGTCTAATATATTACATACAATTATTATTTTTTTAAACTTTTAAAAAACTTCCCGTCAGCAGTGTGACTGCACACACTGGAACATGTGGTACTGCAATTACAAAAAATTGTGCATGCAGTTTTATTCTGAAAAATAAAATTTATGTTTGTAAAACTCCACTTGTGTATTTTAAATAAAATATGTCTGTTTTTTTTTTAACTGGACAATGAAGGGTAAGCAGCAGACTCATGAATTTACATTTGGAAACAGAACACCTAGTTAACTCCCAGGAGGCAGTGCTTTATATCATAATCTGAGCTATGATGTACAGGAGATTGCAAGATGTCAAATTCAGGTAATTCAGGTTCTTACACTTCTTACATTAAAAGATACATTCACATTTATTAATACATGGCTGGAATCATTTATGTGTTTTAATCTGCCCGCAGCTTTTCTGTAATTAATCAAGAAATACAGTTCACATTGCTGTGTAAATCAGGTCATTTACTGGCCAACTCAAACTTGCATTAAAGCAGAGCAGCCTGCGCTGACTGTTGTGCATCTGGACCTTCATCAGATTTGATTAAAAAAGAACTGCAGAGCCCTCTTAGTCCTACTGTATTTACTTGTATTTAAACTGTACAGTCTCCCTTTACTTTGTAAAACACTACGGAAACTGATGGAGCAATATACAGTAAATCCTGTATAATACTGATAAAAAAAATCCCAGCTTGGAGCGTAAATACCCAAACTTCCAATAAGTTGTGTCCAAGCCCAATGACTCAGTGGGGTCACTAGGTGGGTGCGACCCGCACCAGGTGACACCATCGGAGGGGGTGACACCAAAATGACTGACAGTCATTTTGCTGTCGACCCCTTTGAAAAGTCGGGCAGTCGGTCATGGGCTAAGAGCCCGACAGTAACACATGAGAGGAGGGGACCCAGTGGCATACCTTATCCTGTCGTGTGAACGTCCCCTCCTCTCTTTGTCGGCGCCCATCACCAAGATGGCGGCCAGCAGGCAAGCACCTGATGTCATTACGCACATGCGTGATGTCACACGCATGCAGGAGGACGTCCCAGCGTGTGTTAAGCGGCGGCTGCTCCCGGTGACACAAAGCCTGGGGACGCCCCTGCAATGACTATATCATTGAGTTGCAACAGGAGCAACTGTGCGGTTACTCAATACACAGATACACCTAGCAATCACATTTAACCTTTTTATTTAAGCCAAACAAAGATGCTAATATGTAAAGAACAGCCATTAAAAAAGCACATTCTACTATAACCAAATTTCATGCCCGCTTACTTGTGGTACATTGCTGTTCACCCACTGCACACTGGGTAATATGTCATCCCACAAAATAAGACATCTAGCAAGGGTCTGAAAAAAGTTAAAACATAAAAAAAATGTAAGGTTAGTTTTAATAAACCATTACCAATGGATCTGAAGCACTTATGTAACAATCTACAGACATACTCAGACTTTTGCCTAAAGCTTACATGGTGCCATGAAATGGTTAGTTAATCTTTGTTTAATTTGACAGCTGTTTTTAGCAGAATTGTCATAAAAGTAGAAGTCTTCATACCCTTAATAAAAGGAATTCTGGCTTTACAAAGTCAAGTAAATACATGGTGTCCGGGGCCCGCAGCCAATCTGCTACTGACCTACAGGAAAAAAAAAATAGAAAATGATCATTAAGAACAAACATTTTAGGCTTGCCACAAAGAAAGTAAATACTTAAAAGGGTAAGATTACAGTCACTCATACATACAATTCCATAATAATAATAAAATAAAATTAAAAAAAAGCTGTAGGCTTTTATTGTATGGGCTACATTGTCTGATATTTTATTTGTATTATTATTATTATTTCTAATATACTTCTACCACATATAAAATAAAGACTCAGTGTCCCTAAAAGGGGCCAAAAAACCTTGAGTATAATCACCATTTCCCCAGCAATGAAAAACAGAAAGGTATGCTACATGAAATAGTAAAAGATGCCAGCGCTAGACTGCAGACAGTAGTTAGAGGTTAATATACTGTATGTCTGACACGTCATGTTATCATATCATAAAAACATGAATGTTAGTATCTTGCGCTCATAAATGTTTAAGTGCACAGAAGATGTTCAGGTCACCATTTTTATCTTAATGGCAAAAAATCAAATACAGCCAAAAGTAGTTTCAATCCCCCTCCCCCCACAGGAACAAATGGCACCTGTCTGCCCAGAGATACCTGGTCTGTGAATACCTACAGAAATCTAAATCACTGAAGAAAATTAGGAAAGCAGTTACCTTGTGTGCAATGTGCTATAATGACCTGTTAAATAGTACTAAATAATACTAAATTGTTAACAAACCACGAAAGGCCCAAACAAATCATTAGAAGAAATAGGGGGGCATGAGAAATTGAGATCTAGTTCAGGTTCGGAAACCTGACATGCTTTTGTTAGGTAGTCTATAGGAACATACTGTATATGTGCAATAAAGGTAATATAGTAACCCTTCATCTGAGTCTGTCTTTCGTCACCTCAAGTATAAGCACACACACAATCGAAGTTGAGACGCGGTTCTATGTTTTTTTGGTTCAACCTGCGGGCTGAACAAAAACAATAGAACAGATCCCTCCATCAATGCTTAAGAGCATTGATGGAGGAATCCCCCGCTGTTTCCTTCTATTCTGACAGCGCCTGCTGGTAGAATATCCGAAGGAGCTAGCAGCTCCTAGCTCCATTTGGCTGAGAATTTTCCAACTGGCTCCTTCGATCAGATGATTGGGGGATGCCGAACGGAAGGGTGCTGAAGGGAAGTGGTAACCACGCAGGGATTTTTGGCCAATTCATCAAGAACCAGATGAAATTTGAAGCGTGTATACCCAGCTTTACAATACAGGTCAATGATCTATGGTGACATATGCTCTCTGCATCTCGACGTTTACCAGTTTTAGAAATGTGTCACAACCTGCTGTCATACAGGATTATTTAGACCCGATATCACTTTCTCTAATAACATTCTGTACTGTTGAAAACAAATGTCATTGTACTCCTCTGCATTACCTGTTGTTGGTTTTCAAGTAGATCATAGCTAATGCCAGGGTAGCTCCAGGGCATGTGACATCCACATTAATAGTGTCTCCTTCCTGAGAAAAAATGAAATATGAAAAAGACCGACGTGCTGGTACTGTTTAACCAAGGTGTTGTCATTCAGCACATATGCTCACTTTTGGCTGCACTTAAATCAGCAATGTTTGCGCTAGGAAAACTCACTGGATTACATTTCGCTCAAGGTAATCACAGATATAAGGTGATTATCTCTCAGAGTGGCTGATTTCAGAGAAACAGGGCAATGATCTAATTTATAGTATAATGGAACCACCTGACAGCTTAAAGGTGGCCATACACTTTACAACCCTCGCAAGACTTTTGTCTTGCAAGGGTTGTAAAGTACTTAAAAAAACGTACGATCTGCCTATCTGGGACAGGCAGATCGTACTTGCGATTATCGCAAGCCCGCCCCCCTGAGGGGCGGGCTTACGATGACTGCAATGAGGGGCGGGCTTACGATGACTGCAAATGGGCAGTGTGCGCGTGCTTCCAATTATAACAAAAGTTGGAAGCATCCAACGTGGATGCTTCCAATTATAACAAAAGTACTCTGTTAGTGGTCAATTTCCCTTTAATTCTCATTGCATCTTCCAGAAATCTGCACAAAGCAAGAAATCAACTTATAGGCAGCTTTCTAAATAAATGACGCAACCTCAACAATGTGCATACCTGGGAACATGCCGGAAAATACCCAACAATGCCAGAATTTTCTCAGCATTGTCAGCAATTCTTACTATTTTTCAGTAATAATGATGAAGTGCTGCTCCCCCTTCACATTTTTCATTATAGAAACTTAATCTATGCAAATAACTGTTGGTATTATTTGAGGTGTTATTGGATAGTGATTTGTATTTCATTTTAAACTCCAGACCTATCCTTTAAAGTGACACTAAACTCAGAAGTTAAACCTTAAAAATGCATTCAAGTACCGGAACTATTAACAAAAATGTATCTTATGTGTATCACTCGACTGTAGATCCTCAAATCATCTCTGAACTGGTGCTGACACTGTCCTTCCTTCTGGAGGGTAGCTACTTTTGTTCCCCATGGTCCCTGTGCGTGTTGTAAAGTAGCCACCACTCCAAGCTCAGTCCCGTGATTGACTACAATCTCACATTTCGTTTACTAATTTGTATTGAGATTGTAGCCCATCACGGGAGTGATCTTGGGTGGCTACTTTTCAACACAAACAGGGACCATGGGGAACAAAAGTAGCTACCCTCCAGAAGGAAGGACAGTGTCAGCACCAATTCAAAGATGATTTGAGGATGTGTGATACACAAATAAGATACATTGTTGTTAATAGTTAAGGTACTTTAATGTATGTTTAAGGTTTAATTCTTAAGTTTAGTGCCCCTTTAAGTCCCTCACACTTTTAAAGCTTACTGTGGCCACACCCACCATTTGGCACAGCACTTCCCACTCACTGCTCCACCCACATTCTCAGGAATTATGATTTATAAAAATTCCCAGGTATGTAAATGTACTTAGTTTTCTGGCAGTGGGAGTTTAATTTTTGATTACATATTTGCAAAGAGTTATACACATCTAAAGAAATGCTGGGGTGCAGCCATTCTATTTACAAAATTGGGACATTCCTTTCAACCTGTCACTCACTAATGCTTATTTACCTTAATCTGATAACTAGGGGATTTGTGCTTTTCCCTGCTGACACCCACGTGTGATCGCTTATGTCCACCAACCATATACTGGTAGAGCTGCTCTGGAACATTCAGGTCAGACATGCCAATCAAATTACTTCCGTGCTGGAAGTAAAAAAAAATTTAAAAAAACATGAAATGTACAGTCAAACAGTAATATGGCAACAACTATATAATATTTTATCTGTCAAGTTATTCAATATCTGACTGTACTTACCCCAAGGCACACCATGCCCAAAGCTAAGCCTGCTGCCAGGGAATAGGATTCTCTGTCTGTGCAGTACTCCATTTCAGGCCCTGGGGGACGACCTAGAAAAAAAAAAAGGTAATACAAATTTGTTGTCTCAATGCTAGTTTGATTCCATATTGCAAATTAGACAAAAATCTGGGTTCACAAGGCCAAGATGCATTTTAATTAGCGAGTAGTATAGTAATTTTACCCAGCGAGCGTAGAGAATTCTATCTTATTTATATTCATGGTCCCCGTCTCTTAACAGATCTTATCAATTATTCATTTAACACACAGGTTAGAAAAGAAAGTAAAAGTAAAAGACTGAGTCACAAAGTAGTCTGTAGCAGTGAGTCACAAAGTAGTCTGTAGCAGTCTTGCAGCCAAGTATAAGTATGTGTGATACGCAAAAAGATGAATTGAAAGATCTTCCACTGCAGAAAAACAACATCCATCAAACGAGTTCTGTTTCTTATTCCCAAATGTTCTCGAACTATGTGCCATACTGAGAGGAAGATAAATACCCATCGGCAACTACTTTGCTCCTCCAGTCCTCTATATAGTGGAGAGAAGGTTTGGCGAAGGTTTTCAAAGCAGTTGGAAACGTTTGCCATAGCTAATGTCTCCACACACAGAGGCACTCATCACCCACACTACTCCACAGCAGTACAAAAATAATTTAATTGCACAAGAAATTGAGAGCAATGTCTGTTTATGACCAAACAAGTCTTAACCAGAAATATCCACAACACTAGTAAGCAGATCTTGCCTATGTAATGAGGGAATATGTAGGACAGAGTTTATGACGCCTATTATAAAACTCCTCACTTGAGTCCTGGAGGATATAGATAGCCACAAGCAGCAAAGTTAAACAGAATGAAATTCTGTCTGTGGCGGGAGGGAGTCAATTCTGGGTGTCTGTTGGTCAGAAGGCCTGCACTTTAATTTGTTATGTTGCATGCTCAGGCTTGCTTTGTTGAATACACGAGTAAAGACCAGCTGATTGCTTCAGTGTTGACTGTATTGCTAAAAATCATTCTATTTACAAACTAGATAGAAACAATACATCAGAATATTAACACACAATAAGGAATTTATTACGCAGATTTTCAAATAATAAAAATGACTATTGCTTGATTTACATCATGTGTTAGCTTCCTAGCAAGTATTCATGCCATGTGTTTTATCCATATAGGAGGTCATGGTTTACCTATTTCAGCAAGCAGAACTTCAGCAATGTGTCTGTGCGCCGTTCCCTGGTACACCAGTCCAATGCCAATCACAGCTGCCACCTGCACATTATGAGGCACATCCAGCTCTGTAGAGGTAGGAGGTAATAGAGCTGGGATGTGGATACTTAAGAGTCGTGTGGTGGAAATATCCATTGTACCGAGCTTTGCAGCTGACACACCAAGCAGTAGGCCAATGCTTGTCATCTCATGACCCTAGCAGAACGAATTGAGAGAATAAAAAGGCAAATACCAGAGAAGTCACATTACATATCAGAAGCATTGCACAGAGGAAACAGCCTGAAAATGTCAATGATTTTATTCAGCTGCATAGAGCAAAAGTGTGTTTATCTGCATGCTAGTAAGTTTCATTTGATCAATGACAAAAGGCACAACCTAGGAGCTTGCATACAACCAAGTTTCAAAAATTCATCACTAAGAACATGTCGCATCCAAGGTACCCCATTACGGGAACATTGTGTGATAAATGTGATCAAAAAGTTGACCTTACTAATTAAAAAACTGTTGCTTAGTGAGGCTGGCTTCCCACTTGTGTGTTGTGGTAACACCCATTAAAACATGTTTTTACCACAATTATTGCAACTATTCGCTTTGCAGCGGCATTTATTTCAATTACCCCCCCAATGTACACAGAGTAGCTGCCAACATACCTGTGCTACAGTGCACCACAACACATACTATGTGGTGCTAGGAGTTGCCAAAAATCCTATAGGTGTGGTTTTTGGTGTGTTACGGTGCACTGCTTGCCCATTCAAAATAATGGGCTGCCTTAATACAGCATGCTTTAGTGCACAAAATAGTGTTCACGCACACACAGATGAGAAGGGGGCCTTCAATTTCATATTTAAGGGGGGGGTGGTTGTTTTTCCTTAGCACACCGAGATCTACTGTATGTCACAGTGGTCAAATAGTGAGAGTGAATCTCAATAATGGGGACACAGCAATATAAAACAGACAGGAGTTGTAAACCCTCAGCACTATGTTTAAAAAAAAAAAAAGTAGCTTCCGATACACTTTAATAAGAAGCAAGATTGTTCCTACAGCTAAACCTCCCACATCGCAATGATCAAAAAGTAGGGTTTAGACACAACACAATGCCTTAATATACTTTACACAGGTTCTGCAGAATTCCATAAACTTTGCATATAGCCTGACACTGCAAAACACATTGGATTAGCCTATCCCATTGTTATCAAGAAAAAAGGCTTTGACTACTCCTACTAATACTTAAATGAACCCGTAACGCAGTTTTGTGTAATAAAGTCGGTTTTACATTAATTTTGAACGATTGATCAGTGGCGAGTCAAACCTTTCTATTTTACAAGAAGAAATTGCTCCCCAAAATAAACAAATATTAAATTGTTGCATATATATGGTTATATATTCCTTTTTACAGACTGGTGTCATGTACCATTAATGTCTAGTGGTGTTTAAAGTCTGGTACACATGTTTACTTTTTTTGTTCAACCTAACGAAAAAAATTAGAACAGATTCCTCCATCAAGGGTTACAAGCGTTGATGGACGAATCCCCCACTGATTGCATTGTATTCTGCCAGCTCCATTCTGCTGAGAATTTTCCAACTGCTCCTTAGATCAGCTGATCCAGGGATGCTGGGCAGAAGGGTGCCTACTCAGCAACAAGCCAGGGCTCCGAACAGGATTTTATAGCCAGGGGGTGTAAGACCACCCCCTGGTTACCGGGGCAACCAGGCGGCTTTCCTCCCTGGGAACCAATGGCAGGCGAGAGTGGTGGAATGTGCGTGCTGGGAACCTCCCCCAGCAAGGCCCACACCTGATAGTCCTATTAGGCGCAGGCATGCACAGCCTGTGTACCGCGCGCGTCCGCTGCGTACCTGCAACCCCAGCGCCAGGAGTTCTGCCAGGCTGGAGGAGACCCCGTGCCTTGCACCGTACACACGTTGGCCCCGAGGAGAGGTAACATCCCTGGTTTCCTGACATGAACAAAACTGTATACAGTATTGTTATTCCTTACTTACAGCAAACTTGCCATAGGAGAAATATGGGGACTACTACTGCTGATCTGGCTGTAATCACTGTCAGAGGTTCCTATTTGCGTACTTTTTAGGGCCGGTGATAACGTATTTAAGCAAGAGGATCAGCATGACTACCAAGTAACAAGCATTTGCAGCAATCAACTCCTCAGAGTGATCTTATGATAGCTTTCTATTAAATTCCAACTATGGGATGAAAAAAAAACCCCTTGCAGTGCAAGGGTTAAATGGCATATTAACTCTAGGGGGTGGCATAATCATGGATTACTAACCATTGTATTAAATTGTATCATTTACCTTAGTTAAATAATCATGAATGTTCAATGTTGCCAGTTTGGTGAGGTGCCCATTGAGACCCAAAGCCATGAGAAAGCCAGCATACTCGTTGGCCAGCTCAGCATTCTTTGGCTTGTTGTACACAATCCAAGCAGAGTCTATCTGAGAAGCTGGAGCAATTTTCAGACCAGCAGCCACCCCATTGTGGAAGCTGGCCCAACATGCCATGTTTGGTGGGACGTCAATGTTTCCACTGTTGAGATCCACAGTTGTGTTTCTGGGTGGAGCTCGTCCTGCAAATTAAATTGAGTCACGTTTCAGTAATTTTATCATTAAAAAGAATCGTCTTAAAATGATGGTAATTATGATTCAGAAAAGATATAAATAGGCACAAACTGAGATACAAGTCAGAGCAAAAATCAAACATTCCTAATTTTTCCCTTATGTATTTCTTTATTTGACTATTCTATGTAGGAAAAAGGCAGGCCTACCTGTGAGGTTCAGTTTAGGAATAGGTAGTGGTTCTGTAGGGACTGGGTGATGGGAAAACAACGTAAACATCCCTCTACCCACTGGCAAGGCCATGGTCCTCTGACACAGCTGTAATAACCTGCAACAACAGTTAGCATATAATATTTATCTTTCCAAAGAAAATATCAGCAACTGGGAAAAAAACATGCCATAAACATTTAATCCTAAATCAGTAAAAATATCAGGATTCTTACTAAAGCCATCTTTGGGTGGAGTAAATGACATGGGGTTTTTCAAGCATGGTTGGCATATTACCAAGCTTTATTTAATCGAAGAATTGTAAAAGTGATCACAAGCTGTATGCCACAACACCAGCAACTGGATTTAGCAGTTTGGGAAGTCAAACAGCAATAAGCTGGTCTTTGATTAGGTCCTATACATTTCAGCACATCGCTAACATTTTCAGGTTATTCAATAACTCCTTAAAGCGGATCTTCAACCTCTCTCACTAAAATCATTTAAGCATGCAGCTCTGCTGATATGAAATCAAGTTACAATAATTAAACAGACATTTTTTGTACTTTTACTTACAATTACTGTCTTTCCACTTCCTGGTGGAGTACGGCACTGGTGATGTAGCCCCGGCCTCACAGATGCATCCTGGGAAGGCTACATCACCAGTGCCATCCTGGGAATCTCATCTGTTAGAGATGAACATTTCAAGTAGCTCTACTGATTAAAAGTGCTTTTTTCCTACGCATTGTAGAATCCTTTAGTCGAAAAGTTAATTGGGGAATACAGCAGACCTTTGGGCAGGGCTTATACCCTAATGGCTGGCTGTATCCATCAATGATTCTAAGCAAAAAAAAAGTAAATGCTTCCTCATTTAAACCTCATATAAAATGATATGAACACTCTAAACAGGAAAACAGATGGCAGTATACAATACAGAAAGTATGGTTATGGTTACCTGTTCTCTTTTTCCTCTAAGTACTCATGGTCACTAACTTCTGGCATCTGAACAACATTCACACGTACAGGATGGGAACTTTGTAAAAGCCTGCGTACTTCCTGCACACGCAAATCTTCACTCCATATCAATGACATTACTTCCTGGTTTAAGTCATTCATTCCATCGTCTTCCTCTTCACCCTCTCCTGCAGGGGGAACCTCTGCAGATGGTACTTGGCCTGTTGACTGTAAAATGAAAAGAAGAAATAAGTGTGAAACAAAGTAAAGGCCGTGTGCATTTTCCATGTGCATGGGAGGTGGCACATTGACAGAATTCACTAAGAATATTTCTCAAAATCAATGTCAATTTCTTCAATGTCAAAAAAGCAAAGCGTGAAACAATGTTTCTCCTTATATCTGGTATTTTTCGCAGTACTATATGATGTATCAAGGGATTATATCAAACAGTGGCCACTTTATAAAGTTACTTCTATCTGGCACTGGGTAGAACACCCCTTTTTGCCTTCAGGAGCCTAATCTCCTTGCAGCAAGCATACAAGATGCTGGAAATGTCAATTAAAATTAGATATCATTGTACAGTTCATGCAATCTGCCAATCAAACATTTAAATTATGAGAACTTGGTTTCACCTAATTCCAAAATATTTCTACCATATTCTATCCCTGTGTGCAAATCCTAACCGCTAATGTTGGTGATTCTATGCCTACCACAACTTAACTTTTCTATTTTTAGCCAACTATTTTTTTCCCCCTTTGGTCAAGTGGAAACTGCTGTGACTTATCTTCAAAGTTCAATAAATTGGTTAACTAAGTTAAAACTAGGGTACCCTGGTACTACACCAGTACCATGTGAGCTAAGCTCAAGTAACCACTGAGTGAGGCCTTGTTCACACCAAATGCAGACCAGATCCGGTCAGGTTTCTGCACAAGCAGTGTAGTGGGTTGTGCCGCGTTTTAGACGCGTTTTTGGATGCGTTTTTTATGCGTTTAGGGCCGGTTTTGGTAAAAAAAAAAATAATACTTTTTTTTTTAAAGTTTAACATGGACTTTCAGGCACTTGCATGCGTTTTTGATGCGTTTTTGATGCGTTCCAGACCAGATCCAGAGCAGGTAAAATAGGGCTTGCCGCATTTTTTTCATCCGGTCTGGATCTGGTCTGGATCCGCACGCTGCAATGTGAACTGGAGGTCAAAATACCATAGGAATAAATTGGACGCAGTTTTGATCCGGTCTGCACCTGCTCTGGTTCGGATCTGCTCCGCGCTTGGTGTGAACAAGCCCTAAAAGTGTTTACTGAACCCTGTGAAGTGTCGTGTGTACATTACATTTCATAAAACAAAAAACCATGAAGTAAAACAAAAAAAAGTATAAACAAATATTGTAAAATAAGCCATTAACCATTTCTAGTAAGGAAAAAAAAATCACTTAGCATGGTAAATGTGCTTCCTCAGTTACTACTCACAGATTTGGTCTGAGGAAGGTTTCCTTCACAGGCTTGTTTGGAGAGGTCTTGACGTCCAATGAGAACGCAGACTGACTCTGGCCAGTCAGAAGCAGGATGTTGCCGGCACTGGTATATTGCATGTCTAATAGGAAGAGCAACTCCAAAAGGTAGAGATTCTAAATCTTGTAAAGAAAATCCTTAAAGACAAGGGAAACAAATGCATTATAAGCAATACTCCTGACTAAATGAGTTTTATACAAAAATTCTTCTGTATAATCATACAATACAAGACAGTTTTAGTCTTGCAATCACAGACATTGAGGGCGGTAAGAGAAACAGTGTATTGCACCATTTACTTTCTCATTTTAGACATTTCATTCAATTCTAAAGTCACAACGCAGTGCAATATGGCATAACCGCATTGCTCCATGTTGCACTAAAAAAAACAAAACAACTGCACGCTGTACTTTTTTTTTACAACGCAATGCGGTAGAGTGAACTGAGACGCTTGAAAACAAGGCTATTGCCTTGCCTTGTCTCTGTATTGGGGCTGCACTGTCAACGCATCTGGTGTCAATCGGTCCTAAAGGTTTGGTGAGGTTGTTCAAAAGGAATCAAAAATCCCTCTCCAAAACATGTACATGTACTACATCAAACGCAGAAAAGCAAGACTTTATATATATCTATCTATGTATATATATATATATATATAGTGAAGGGCATAGAGCGAATTGAGGCTACCTTCTCATGAACATGACATCAGTTTACAAAATAGGAGACTCTGCTGAGTGTAAGACACAGCTGGTAGTCATGTTTTTTCTAGAATATCGCAAAAAGAAAACCTGTTGTGTTTCACTTGTACATAGTTTCTGCTATTGCCATTACACTGCTAGGTGTTGCATTGTATATTATTAATGTTGTGGTATACACCTGGCATCAAGTGGTACATTAGCACTACTAAAACTTGTTTTTGTGTGTCTATTTGGTATCTCCCTTTGTGCTCCCCTGCTGTTTAGATTCAGTTGGTATAGTGTTAGATAGGCCCTTCCTTCTCCTTCCATGTTCCATCACCTTAGTGCTAGCCTTCATCATAGACACTAAGCTAGGTGGCTCATTGCCTTTTTACACTTTAAAAGGCCAGTAGATATCCTCTGTAAAACACTAAGAATTAAAATGGTGTTGAATTCAACTTCTGTTTCTCACTGTAGAGTTAAGTTGACTGCGGAATGTGCTGATTCAGCAGATGACCATACTGGCCAGCTATATTGAGATCAAAAGCAGGCATGTCTCTGCATTAAGTGGCACTATAAACAAAATTGTTACCGTATACAGTTGTATAGTTGTTATTAAAGGATACATGTATGCAACCACTTCTTTATACGTCTGTTAGACTATGTGACCTTGCTGAAGTTATTTAGCAAAATGGTTATGCCAAGCATTTTTCACTTATTTATAATGGCCACATGAAATCTAAAATACATACATTTACCCTACCTGAGAATCACTATAACTAAAACCACCTATCATTAGGGAAAACATGGGGAAGCAGAACAACATAAAAACATACCTATGTTACTCATCCAAACAACCAGCTTTTCAGAAAGATCAGAAACCACTGGGTTCAGTTTTAAACTACACCTGAAAAAAATATATAAAAAGGGAAGCAAAAATGAGTGACTCCAAATTATAATCAATAGGAATAATGTGTACTTGACATTATTTTTCATACCTTCTGACATCTTCCTGCTGCTTTCTGTGTCCTAGAAATAGAAAAGTCAAAAAAGCATATTAGGGATGAGGTCAAACATACTAGGGCTTACAGCCCAAACCAGCCAAAACATACCCCTCAGAAAATATTTTAGCTTTAGATAGTGGAGGGAAGATATAGATTCTCATCAGGTAATACATCCTTTTTGTGTTCCCAGTAAAAAAGAGAGTTCCTCTAACTGTATGCAATACCTGTCTCCTAAACAAGAAGTGAAGGGGGTGCAGGGGAATATACTTCATGGGGACACAGACAACTATAAAATGCGGACATGTCCCCTACTCCCTGTTCTATAAATAAACAGGAAATCCCACTAAATGGGGACACACATATGTGACATTGGTTCTAACCCTTTAACACTGCAAAACTAAAAAAAAAAAAAAATAACGAAAATCTTTATGAAACTATTTAAAATTTACATATTACAATATTAACTGCAATCGAGGGTTTCCCTTGTGGTGAGTCATGTGGCCCATGCTTCAACGCTGGTCACGTGCTATGTGTGCTGATGGGGAGGATCACTGTTCAGACACAACTGCTGATAGGCTGGCTCTTCCTGAGCGTCAATGCCAAAAGCCCATTCAGCAGAGAACCAATGCTGAGGGAGTTACGAGTGGTCATGTGACTCTAAACCTGGCCACACCCCTATAGATTTTCTATGGTCAGATTGAAAAAGTGCAACAGATTCCTCCATCTACCCTAAACTGTGTGGATGGCGGAATCTCCCTCTGGGCCAAGCTTCAGTATCTAGCTGGTTGGCACAGTTGGCTCTCAATATACCTGAACAATGCCTGCATCCAATCAGATTGTTCAGGTATTTTGACAGCGAGCGGGGCCGACTAGCAAGCTATCCACACGGTTTAGCGTAGATGGAGGAATCTGTTGCACTTTTACCATCTGACTATAGAAAGTCTGCAGGTGTAAGGCCAGCTTAGCCCACAAATGAAACCTTGATTTTAGTTATTACAGTGACAGGTGATTGTCTGATTAGATTTATAAGCATTTTCTTAAATGTATAAATGTTAAAGCCACCACTTAGTTTTGAGTATAGTCATGGTTTGAATACAAAAACAGTTTGTTTACCTGCTGTTATTTTGGAAAGGTATTTTGAGGACTCATCTGATATGGCATTCTCATCCCCACGTATGTACAAAGCAACACTCTGTAATAAAGCATAAAATGCACCTAAATATACACGTGTAAACCACATAAGAGTTCAAAAAGATATGTCAAAGAAGCCAAAAGGTAAAGCATAGCTTCAGAAAAATAACAGGTGGCATTTAAATCAGGTATGACCGGTTTAGTTTTTTACATATAGTTGGCAAGAGTGCCTGAACTTATGATATTACTCTTCAGTAATCCTAATTATAGCAAAACACAGGAGAGGGGAGGCAGCATTAGAAGCCAATCAGGGTTCTACTGCATTGCAAATTGGTATATATCTAATACCGGAAGCTTCAGACTGAAGGAAATTGGAGAGATGACCTCAATGGGTTGCAACTGGTCCAGTCACATTCTGGGCAGGTCAACTGAATATATGCTATATGGCAGAGGTGTCTCAGGAAGTACAGGGCCTGGCTATGCTGCCTGACAGGGTTTCTGGTACAGTTTTCTGAATTGTCACTATGGGTCATAGTAAAATTAGGGGGTTGAAGCGCAAGAGGGCCTTGGTGTATTACATGGCAGGGGTGTGGAATTCCTATCGCCCGATGCCCGGGACATGCAGTTTTGGGCGCCGGGCGAGTAGTTATTTTTTACATTTAGCAATGCTCCGGACAAGCAGAGCTAAATGTACAGCGTGGGGCCGCTGCTCGTTTTTATACAAGTGATCTAATTAGATCACTTGTATGAAAGGATCGGCGGCTATTGTGTCCGGTCACCGCCGCCGTGACCACAGCACACGAGCTCACCATAGAGTCCGAAGAGCAGATGAAGAACGGACGTTCTTCGTCTGCTCTGTGTAATCACTGAGACCGTGGCGCTGTGATCACAGCGCCACCTGTCTCAGCCATCAGGAACTGCACAGAACATCAGTTCTGTGTTGGAGGGTTCCATAGAGAGAACCTGTCACCTCCAAACTTATCACATAGGAGTTTTTAAGCCCTGTGTGATAGGAATAAAATTAAGTGGGAGAAAAAAATAATAAATAAATAAAAAAAGTTATAAAAATAATAAAATATATAAAAACAAAAGTGATAAAGTAAAAAA